ATTGGGATGAAGGGTTTAATATATTAGGAGCTTAAATCGACAAATTCGTGAGATTGATTTCTCCTTAATTTATTCACGTATGCGATTTGGGCAACATTTCTTTTAATTTCTCTAAAAATAACAAAAATATTTAATGGAGATGGGGTGTAGTTGGTTGATAAATACAAACATTTACGAGAAAATAATGGGAATACAATTTGCAATGATTCCTACGTAACCCGCATTAACAATTCGTCTTCTTTTGCCAATAAGTTAAAAAGCTGGGACAGAGTTCAAGTTTTTGATGGATAATTATGATTATATTTTTAATATAATAGATTTATTTTATATTCATTTTTTTTAAATATTTATTTCTTTTTCATATATGTTTTTAATTATAATAATATTTAGATGTCAGGAAATGAGCGTAGGTTGCTCCAACATTCCCTCCAGTTATAAATTCATTTGGAAAATATTAAATTTTCCGCGGACAAGATACCAATCTACTTATCAAAAAGTGTTTATGGGCACTCGGTTAAAATGGAGTATTAGACATATTTTTCCCCCTCACAATCAGCCCTTTTCGCTGCTCCAAGATTTACTCCGTTAGAATGAACATATTGTCCTCAATTTTCGATGCAGATTTTTTCAAGAATTTTAATTTGAACAAAACCCGGGAATTTACGAAAACCACAAATCAGGATACGCGTTCCATCCCCGTCCCTCTCATTTTGCCATGAGCTCGTGATTGCTTTCATTCAAAGCTGTTTTTTATGCCCCCTACTATAAATTGGCTGTAAACTTTTCATTTCCTTAAAAGTCAACTCGAGGGTATGAGACGTGATCGCGGCATCGTGCGAAAATCGACTGTTTTGAAGTTTTTGCAGGAATGGTAAATTTGCTTTTCAAAGTATTTACAGCATTAGTCTTACATGCAGTCCAAGCGGTAAACGATTGATCAGCCTTTGACAGTGATTCATGAAGGGTGAATAGTTTTCTCGGGAGGAAGGAAAAACATCAACATTACATGACAGGATGCAACATGAGACATTGATGTCGGCTTGCGCAGCCAAACTCCTTTTTCCGATATTAGGGAAATATAAAACTCTACATTACATGTTCGCTTGCTCTTCAATCATTACTTATACATCGATGGCAAAACTTGACTAACTTTGACTCCAACTAATGATGCTGTTAGAACTGTTGCTACGGTTGAAAGGTTGCGGTTACGGTTGTAACTTGCAGGTAAAATTAAGATTTACGGTAAGCGTATGAAAGAAATCTGAAACTTACCAAAGAATATCTTTCGTACTTCTCAAAGAAAGCTAACAATCTGCGAAATTAATTTGCAGAAACTAGCGTAATAACGCAATTAGTTAAACGTCGTATTTGAGATTTCATATTAAAGAATGATATGAGAGAGCTGCGCAGCTCGTACAATCTGTCAAGGCTGCTTTGAATTCCTTTTCAAAACTCGGCGTTGTCACAATCAACGGGATTTGACGTATGGTGTCGAGGGGGCGCGTGTAGTTCAGAAAGTTCTTAACAACTTAAGAGTAAAGTTTCAATGAGCAAAAAAAATCCAAACCGCGAAGCATTGCATTAAAAAAGAAAGTATAATAATAGTTCTTTGACTGAAAACTTGAAACTGTCAAAACTTTGGTTTGCTTTGACGCTCGGGGAACACTGCCTCCCCGAGGAAATCCGGGAGTATATTATTAATTTCATACTCTGGATGTTTCATTTATCATAAGGAATGAATTGAGGAACAGAGGTAGCTTCAAAAGCGTCGGGTGAGGTTCAACATAATTTACTGCGAGGTGAAATTTGCGGAGAATACAAGACACTAATCCTAGATTCTTGAATAAATAAGTATGGCTACAATAAGGGTGTCTTCTGGACTAACTCGAAAATTGAAGGCAAAATAAGGATATGCGTACGCTCCATGTCCGCTTTGTGTTGATTGATATGAATGAATTGACGAAAATACGGAATCAAGTAGCATTGAGTGAGAGAAAACGGAGTTTAGAGGTGAGGAGAATTTTAATTCCATATATTTAGTGAAAACATTATCTTTCTGGTCCATACATGGACTATCTATTATTCGTGAGCTTTGATTTTTTCTCAGGAGAAAGGCAAAAGATGTCCACTGATACCTTTGATTTAAAATGTATTCATTTTAATTATTTGATTTTATTAATTTTTGAGCTGAACTTTTGAGCTGAACTTTTGAGCTGAACTATGTTTGAACTTTTGAGCTGAACTTTGTTTGAACTTTCTAAAGCTGAAGCTTTAATTTTTGCCAAAAAAGCGCGAGAGTGCGGTAGAAAATAATTAATTTAATTTTTTCTAATGGAAGGAGAAGTTTCAAGGTTCCACAGTGAAATTGCCTGGCTTTTCAGAGTTGAGCGAAACTCAGGAATCCTTCGGATATCCTCGACTTTCCAGGTTTCTAAAGACTTTCCGCAAGAACTTATCACTCTGTCCTCAGAATTTTTCCGTTCAAAAAACGTTCCTCAAACACACGAAAAAAATGGATTGCTGATTTAACAATTAAATTGTTGAAAAGTAAGTCCAATATGTTTTAAATGTTCATTTTACAATGGTGTAAAGCTAATTAAACCACGAGGGTGGTTGAATTAGCATTTTTTAATTGTATAATCTACATAGAAACACATCGGACACTTTCTTTAACTACAAATCGGAAAATCGGTAACATCACAGGGTGTCTACTAAAACAGGCTGGCCATAAATCAGTACTTATACAGTATTTATTCAGTACGTTCCCAAGAAAGTCAGTACCTCCTTAGCAGAAAAATTCAGTACTTTTGCAGTGCCGCCAGTTGTCGAAATTCGAAACATTTCAAAAATTTGAATTTCTCGCTCAAATTGCGACAAAAATGAAAAAAATTCCGGACCTTCTCGCGGATTTTCCGCACTTTTTCAGTACTTCCGGACCTCCCTTAAAAAATCAGTACTATTTCCGGAAATTCCGGAAACATTTCAAAAATTTGAATTTCTCGCTCAAATTGCGACGAAAATGAAAAAATTTCGGACCTTCTTGCGGGATTTCCACACGTTTTCAGTACTTCCGAACCTCCCTTAGAAAATCAGTACTATTTCCAGACTTTCCGGACTTTTAGACGCCCTGTATCATTTTTTTTCCGTGCATGCGGTCATTATTTACAAATCTGGCATCCGTGGTGGATGCCTCATACGTTCCCGGTCAATCGCCGCGGTGCGGTGCCGTCATAGGATTAGACGCGGGACGGAACGCGATGCCACTGCACCGACAAAGGCCGCGGCCCAGACTGCAAATCGCTAATCATATCACCGCCGCCCGCTCCTGTCCGCTCGCCTTCCTAATTTCCGCCGAGCGCCGGAAGCCGGAAACCGGAAACGAACTGCAACCCGGGGATCCCCATAATTTAATTTTTTTTATTCACCGGGGGTTTTTTCGGCGAATTTGTCGCCGGAACTGTGCCAGTCGCCGGGACTGGGGCGGCCTTTGCGTGACTCAGACGGAGAACGGGACGGCACATTTGTGTTTTAATGGGTCGAATACCCTCGACTCTTTTTCTCCGCTTCCGATCCACGTTGCCAAGCTAAGCGTTTTATTTATTATTATTGTATGATAAAAAAAATAAAAATAAAAAATAAAATAAAAAACACTAAGCAGTGACCCGAACGGTATGTAAAAAGGTGGAGATATGGTACTGGGTCCACACCATTTCGCGGGGGAAACAAAGCCAAGAAGTTCCAAAAATTATCGTTAGAGTCAAAAATATTATTTTTAATAATATTTTTCATTAGAGTTAAAAAATTATTTTTGAACCTAATTATAATTTTTTAGAACCTCTTGGCTTTGTTTTCCCCACGAAATGGTGTGGACCCAGCGCCATTTCTCCACCATGTTATATTTATATAGGTATATTATTTATTTTACACAGTACAAAAGAGCCCTATGATTGGGACTATGGCCCATGTCAAAGTCTACGGTTAGTTACAATAAGAATTACTAGTGATGAAATTTTAACTTAAATGTGCTTTTTTTTATACATGCAAGGTGCAAAAACTGAATTTTCAGCACCATCTGGCAAGTATGCTTTCTCCGCTGCAACAGCGTGTTCTCTACGTATCTTCCGTTTTTTTCCTCTCCTTTTCGGGCCGATGTCGTTGTGTTCGGCTTCCTCGCTATCGATTGCCCGCCCAATTGCCGCGCCGACACCGGAAATGGGTCTGTCGCGAACTTCAAGTGCAGCGAAAATAAGAGATGTTTCTTCTTGAAAATGCATAGGAAAAACTCTGGTCTTGAGACCTAGTCAGTTTATGAGGCGCTCAGCGGTTCGAAGGATTGAGTTTCAGTCAAGCAAACCGACATCTTAAGGCGATAGAACCAAACTTACGCGTTTCTTTAAGCTTCTTGTTTAAAACAGGATACTCCGTGATAAGTGCACATTGCGTACACAGAACCATGTTGCATATTGCGTAGCATCGCAAGTGTTGGATGGAACGACTCCTCTTGCTCACCTGTGCCGAAGTATCGTTTTTGAAGCGGGAAGCTTGAAAAACGCATGATTCTTGGGCAAATTGTGGAGTTAGGAGTGAAATTCAGACTTTCCCGATGCGCTCATCTTGATTTTCAAGCCATTTTCTACAAGATATAGCTCTCCTCTTTGCTCTAACTGAAGTTTGCAAAAGGCTCATTGGGTTCTTCTCGGGAGGAGACGAAGGGGACGCCTAGTAGACGGATGGAGACAGGGGGTTTTGCGAGAAATGAGGGAGTGCCAACTCCCTGAGGAGGAGAGGATAGGAGACTATGGCGGCTAGGCGTTGCAGAACCGAATAGCGCTGTGAAAGCGGCTCGTATGTATGTACGCATGTCAAGGTTGCCAGATCGTGTAATTAACGTGGATATATAACAAAGAGTTAAATGGAGGAAATTGCTGGATTTTTGGCACCACCTGGCATCATTGACGTATGTGAATGTAAAATTTGACGAATTTTCGTTTTGATTTCAGATGACCCTGTCGGAATGGCAGATCAAGCAGCTGTGCGTTGTGACGAGGGGCATCATAATGGAGCAGCCGATGCTTCTGGAGCTCGAGGCCCCGGTCAACGTCGTCGGGGACATCCACGGGCAGTTCGACGATCTGCTCAGACACTTCGACAGGGTCGGCTACCCGCCTAGGGCTAACTACTTGTTCCTTGGAGATTATGTGGATAGGTAAGCTCATCATCCAAACATCAAGTCACCGTATTCTGAACGAAAGGATTAGTTTACAGGATTAATAACAGGAATATTCATCCAAAATAACGCGATTAGTGCAACTGCCAGCAGAGCACGCTTAAGTGCTTATCCAGCACGGTAAAACATTTTGCGGCAGTATCCACACCTCGAGAATTTTGGCAGTTGGGGCCGAGATTTGCTGTCCCGGTTGCCGAAATTCTGTATATTCTACTGAGGATTCGGCAGTACTGCCGAATTTCGTCGACAGGGACCGGAAATCTCGGCTCCAGCTGCCAAAATTCTCGGGAAGCGAATACTGCCGTAAAATGTTTTACCGGATATAAGAAGTTAAACAAAGGTGAAATTGTAAATCAAACACTTCGGTAGAAGCATTTAAGTTTCAGAATGCACCGGAATGTAAAAATTGTAATATAGAGAAAATTGTCTTCTTGTCCTTGACTCGGTTGTATCATCTCTTTTTCAGGGGGAAAAATTCTCTAGAAGCTATCAGTCTCCTATTAGCTTATAAAATCAAGTATCCAAATAATTTTTTCCTCCTACGAGGGAATCACGAATGTGCCAGCATAAATAGGTAAGAACCCTCAATTATTCACGTTTAATCCGTGTTGCGTCTACATAGGACACATCCTGCTAATTTCCTGTTAAATATTCATGAAGCGCACACAAAAGCATGCTTTTTAGTAATTGCATGCACGCTCGGCTACAATCCTTTGAATACAAGCACATACCTGTTCACATGAGTTTCAAGTACATCGATGTTTTAAAGGACAGGTTATATATTACGGATATAGGTGTCCGAGTCTTCAGGGTTGTGATTTAATACTCCATTCAATTTTTCGCCTAGTTCAAGTTGTCTTCGATATAAAGACTTGGATTACCCAGCAAGACTATATATGTCGCAGACAAATAGTAAAATCAGGCATTTTGTCAAATGCCTATAGGCAAATAGTAAAATATTCGAACGTAGATTGAAATTCTGATTCTTTTCCTAATTTCAAACAAAATAATTCATTGCTCCTGCAAGAAAAGATTCTCAGTAAAAATTTACTCCACACAATTGGATTTTAAACGATTTTTATCTCCTGAACAGACACTGGTCTTGAAATTTTCAGCATATCATAAAATACAGAATTTTCGGAATTTCAACATTTCAGAATATGAGAAGCAATTGAAGAGGAAGAGACAAAAAGGGTTCGTAGGTTTGATGAGTTATTTTTCCACAGATATTGAAAACTCGCGAGCTCTTTGCCATAAATTCACAAAATTGTGTAAACCGTCAAAATTTAACTATCTGCCTAGGCATTTGCCAAAATGCCTGATTTTACTATTTGCCTGCGACATATACATCAAATTTCAAACCAGAAATAAGTCGAATCTCGATGGAAAATATTGAAAAAACAGTCAAAGACACTTTATTTTCATGCAAAAACGACTCATAATTAATAATTTGTTAGACATTGGATGGACACCGGTGGTGTTTCTCCTTGCCAATATTACGATCCAAAAACTATGTGGAAAAATGCCGATTGTTTCTTTTGAGAAATAATGAAAATAAGGCATTCTCAATCATTCCGATGATTTCAGACGCTGCGATTGTTCCTTTTTTTAAACATCGAGGTCCTAAGAAGCTAAGGAGAACTTTGAGAATTCCATCTTGTTATAGATGAAAATGGGATTAAAGTAAAGAAAAATATAGATGAAACTAGGAGCCTGTGGCCTCTTCGCGGCCGCCAACCACTAAGATAAAACTACAAGTAAGGAATCGTAGAACAACCATGTCTAAGTCAAAAGTGAATGGATTTAAAATCCGCCGGGTGCACGCAAAAGTATAATAAAGCGCATTTATCTCTAATTGCAACGTTACGCACCACATTATGTTTCATTTTTAATGATTGTTTTTAAAAAGCTACACACAGCTTTTCTGAAAAGTTTCCGCAATGTTCTTAAATGATCTCAAATGTAAGCATCGAAAATTGCGACGCAATATTTTCGTTCGTTTTATTTTCCTTTAATATAACCATAAAGAATTAAATTTCATCCGAGTTTTTGACTCGTTACAATGAGGATACATATTTTCCCTTCACTTAGGATAAAAACCGGAGCAGAGTCAAGAATGATGACACGTAATCCTAGTTTTGCGGCGATTTTAGCATCGCGCAAGCCAGGGAAGGGAGCACGGTCGAGTCGCAAGTCATCTTCACAGTGTGATGCGCCTTTAATAAAGCTAGTAGAAATATGACTATACCCGTGTGGTCGAATAGTTATCGCAAATGGTTCTCGCATTGAGTTTGGCGCAATGGGCGCAATGCGAGAAGTATTCATGCAGTCTTGTAGGCGCTGATATGCGTCACGCCGCGCCGATCCGGCCGACCGCACTGTTTAGCGCAATGCGTAAAGCATTCCTCCAGTCTTGCAGGCGCTGATATGAGTGTGATGCCGGCCGCACTGTGTTCGACGCCGGCCACACTGTGTTTGGTGCAATTATTCGAACTCGTGTCGCGTTAGGATAATCGCGGCATCGAACATAGGGGCTTTAAAAGCCCATGTTGTGTTTCGACGTCGTATGAGCATACCAACGTTGCCTCGATTCTTCCGATAAAATAATTTTCCCGAGAAAAGTTAGGAAAGTTCTCGATGTTCGCTTTTTTAAATTGAACGGATAACTAAACAAAGTACAAATTTTAGCACTCTGATCTCTGATACAAGATACATGGAGAAGAAAAATTCAGATAGTTTTAAACGAATTACGTTGAGTATGGGAATTCGCTTCTGCAACTTCGCAGAAGGAGATCCGGGGCTCGCACTTCGGTCATCGATCTGTTAATATATCGTTCAAAAGATGATCTCCAAACTTCCCGTCGTGTGAAAATAGTTTATTTACGTAAAATTTTGAAGTACGCTTCTGTCATCGAGGGACCAGGGCGGTCAATCCGGTACCACCGAAACCCGGATCGGCCCAGCGGTCCCCGCTGAATTTTCACCCGAAAGATCGGCCTTACGGAATTCCATATTATGATGATATGAAGATGAATAATTTTGTTGTGTTAAATATAATTACACATCTTAGATTTTTTAGTATTAAATAAGAACGTATGGCTGTTTTTGTTTTCAGAATATATGGTTTTTACGATGAATGTAAAAGAAGGTATACGATAAAACTGTGGAAAACATTCACCGATCTCTTCAATTGTTTGCCAATCGGTGAGTCCCTCTTTCATTTCTCCGAAAATTACATACGAAACTGCAAATATGAGTAACCTGTTGGTAGGGGCAATCATTTCGATGTTCAAAAGTAAAACGACGCAGAGTTATAAATCAATCTGGAAATCTTAAAAGTCGATCTCATAGAGGAAGAAAAAGAGTATGTTTTTGCACTTATTCAACCTTTATGGTTCTTTGAGGAATCAGAAAATGGTAATCTCCCAAGCAAAAAAAAAATCTGAATAGAAAAAAAAATATTATCCAATAGAACGGTCGATACGGACAGAAACGCTTCTTGGAATTACACGATACAGCAAATAATGGCTAGCTATCGCCCATTCAAATAAATTTCAGAAATAATATTGTTGCAGCTTAGGAGAAAAAACTTCGTTGGGTGTGGAACAATAAAGTTTTGAGTCAAGGAGATCGAAGTTTTTGGTCATAGAGACCTAACTTTAATTTAGGTTACCAAACTTTCTTGTTCGGCAAACTAAGGCTTTTTGTTTACCGAAGCTGTTTGTAACACCGAAAACTTTAGTTACCGGACCGAAAAATTTGGTGTTCCATGTAAACTATAGTTCAGTCCTTGTGATTGAAGTCTTTGCTTCCGTGTCACAATTGACGAAAATTTTCCAGTAACGCGTCCTTAATTCACCTACTATACATTAATGAATAGTTTTTAATTGAAACATTTCCTTTTTAATTTCAGCTGCCTTAATAGAAAACACAATATTTTGTATGCATGGAGGATTATCTCCGCAGCTACGAGACTTATATCAGGTGACTATCAACAATTCAAGATTTCAGCTTAGCGTGTTTGTATATCGATCAATGGAAGACCCAAAAAACCTTAGAGCGTGGCTGATTTTTAACAGAAAAATACCTTCCCAGAGAATAACAACGTTTGGACAAAACTCCAGTATTTCAATATTCTGCAAACTCTATTTTTTGTTTTTTTTTTCAAAAGATTGTGAATAAATAACCAACAGACTTTTTGACGAAAAAATAGAATTAAAGAGGTAGGAGCGTAATGTTACAATTATTTAAGACAGTAGTTTTTTGAGTTCTTCAATTATCTCTCTTCTTAAGAAAGCAGTTATGAACACTCTAAGACAGTGATTCCTCTAAAAAGAAACATTTTCTCCTTCTTCTTTTTACATCAGAGTGCACAAAAGCTTCTGCGACAAGATTTCAAAAATTAAATGGCATGCTCTCGGTCACAGGTGTCATGAATAATTCAATCCCAGAATTAATCGTGACTCGACAATTGAATAAATGTGCTTCCTACGCTAGTCTTACGATACAAATATTTCAACGCGGATGTAATGCATGGGAGTATCAAACATATTGAAGGCGAACTGTTGAACAGAACAATTCAATATTCATCTTATCACGAGTTAAGAATGATTTTTTGCCGATTTGAAATCACTTAAACATTAGTACTCATGCGCTCTCCTTATTCTTATTGTACATTTGATTATAATTGTTTTTATTTTCAGATAAAGCGAATTCATAGACCTCTTAGTGTACCTGATACTGGATTAGCATGTGACATATTATGGTCGGACCCTGACGAGGTAAAAAATATTTTATATTCAAAATGGCTGGTTATTACAACTTATTTCCTTTGCTTTCCCTTGTCACCATAGTCATATCATATCAATGATTTTCAAACACAGAGAGTATAAAATTAAGGAACCTGAGACCTGAACGGAAGATACATACTTCATCAAAAGCGTCATAAGTTTAATCAACCTATGCATTACTATTCTAATGTGAATGCCCCTTAGTGGTTTATCTTTTAGGTAAATAATGGACCAAGGCGAGAGTTCGATAGGTTTCTCCTCGAAATTGGATGCAGAAAATGACCACACAATAGATAATGCGCGCAAGAATCAAATCGGAGAGACTTGTCAATATAATTATATTACATTGTTGCTGTACTAAACCCTCCGCAGCGAAGAGCTCTAAGGAATGCTCCTCAATCATCAGGCACTTGTCTGGATAATTATATTACATTGTTGCTGGAGTAAACTTGCCGTTGAATATTTTTCGCAGCGAAGAGCTCAAATAAGTGATTTCAATAATCGCTAAAATAAGGTAAGGGAACGGATCACCAGACAAGGAAAAACAAGCACTACAAATCATGCTCCCTCTTAAAAATTTCACAAAGCACACGGTCACGGTCAATTTATAATTTCAACTAATAAAAGAGAACTTGACGCTATTCGAATTTCAAGATTCAAACTTCCGGCTCGGCTAGAGAAACAAAGTCTGTTGACTTTACTGAAAAAAAAGTTACGAGTTTCATTAGCAAACCATCCGTTCCGGATTCAGAGGCAGAGAGTTTCGGGTGCTGGAGCCGTAGCTTCAACTACCCGGGACTTTCGGTCCGTGAGCCTGGAACGTGGACGGTATGTCTAGATAGGCCGTAAGTACGGCTTGTACAGCCGGAGTTTTTTTTTTTCAGTGCGGCAAGATTAAGATGATGGAGAATTTGCACACAGGAATGTAACTGCTTTATCTAAGAGTGCTTAGTGAGCTGAGTTTGCAGTATTTTTCATAATTTTTTTCTGAAACGGGAAATTGTAGAAAAATAGATTTAAAAGTGAGGAAATATACCATCTTGTGACGTAATGTGGCGGCATCTCCCATTTAAATGCATGTATTTTATCGGATTAGATTATGTTGTCGCACACATCCTCGAAAAATCGTTCAATTTTGAAACCAAAGATATTCCCTTGTTCTCAGTTCTCTGAGTAGTTTTCTTTTAAACATGAAATTTACCGAATTTCAGACACTTGCAAATTCTCCATTTAGACAAATATGAATACTTATTCGGCGTTATTTTCTAATATCCCTTACGTTCCATTAAAACTGAACTAGAAACCTTTCTTTTTCTTTCAGGGGGTGTTCGGGTGGGGTCAAAACGAGCGCGGCGTGAGCTACACGTTCGGTCCGGACGTGGTGCGGAGCTTCCTGAAGAAGCACAACTTCTCTCTCATCGTGCGGGCCCACCAGGTGGTTGAGGACGGTTACCAGTTCTTCGCCAAGCGCTGCCTCGTCACCCTCTTCTCGGCGCCCAACTACTGCGGCGAGTTCGACAACGCCGCCGCCGTCATGATCGTCGCCGATGACCTCACCTGCAGCTTCAGTATCCTACCGGTAAACCCACCCTCCGTAACGTAACGTAATGCAAAGGAAACATGGCAAAGGAGAGACAAATATTGACCCTATCACCGACATGGACTGCACTGGAAAAAAAAAACACATTGGATCTAGAGTCCAGACTCTTGAAAACATTGCCAAGAAAAAATACTCTTGATTCAATCAGATTTTTGCTTAAATCAAAAGGAAATCCGCTCAAATTAAGAGGCTTGGTTCTTGATTTAAGCAAAAATCCGATTGAATCAAGAGTATTTTTTCTTGTCGATGTTTTTAAGAGTCTGGACTCTAGATCCGATGTGTTTTTTTTCCAGAGTGAGCTGCACGAAAAAACCTGCGTCATACGGACCAACGAGCTGATTTTTGAAATTGATAGACAAAGCTAAGGGCAAAGAAGGCATGAAGGATATGGAGAGATCCTATTGGTAAAAGCGGGTGACTGTAATGCTGCCCTGCTATGGGAAAACGCCGTATGAGCATTCGAGTGTTGCCAATTTCCTCTCAGAAAATATTAATTTTTGAAGAAAGTTGTGAATATTTTCCCTTACAATTTTCAGACTTTTTAGATCAAATTACGGACGAAATCCTCTGGAAAATCGTCAGAGAAATGTTCACAAAATGTTTTGAAAATCCGTGGTTTGTTGAATGAAATTTGGCAACGCCTGAAGGTTCATACGGCGTTCTTCCTTTGCACGGCAGAATGGACAAAGAAGGTGTCTGGCCTCTACTGAAGGAATAGACTGGCTGACGGCAATCCACGAGACACCCTATAGTTAGCCCATCATTTTCTCCCTAATTTTTAGTCTATAGGAACCAACCATTCCAACCAATGAGACAGCTCCATACTCCCTATGTGTTCCTTATCTATCGCTTTGTCTATCCATTTCATCAATCAGCCCACGGACGAAACGATTTACTCGGTGCGTCAATGCGCATACTGCATTTTACTAACGAGACGTTTTGCCTACGATTATTAGACCTGCGACAAAATGTACATCAACGGTGAAACTACAAGATCACGTATCTCGGTTTGTGACGTTGCAGACTTCTTGCCATATACTATTTATTAAACGGCAAATTACTCAACTTCAATTCTCAAAAAATTCCGTGATTATTCTTCCCTCTTCAAAGGGAACGCTGTGAAAACTTCAAGGAATGATATTAATTTGTTCTCCTTCAAAAAAAAAAAAATGGGAGCGGAGATTTTTAAACACCAGAAACAAGATACATCAAATTAAATGAGAACAATCCATGCACGGTGTGCAAACATTTCAAAATCATGAGCTGAAAAATGCTGACTCTGCGAGTTTAAATATTACAACCGAACAGAAGCGGCGTGCTGCCAGCGCGTAACGCGCACTGGCCCCTACAAACCTAAGGGAATACTTTACGCATTAAGCAATGCTTGTAGTATCCACTTAGGTTTCTAGGCGTTGGCCGCCCGCCTGCCGTGCCACAGCGTACCACGGCGCCTCAAGCAACTATTTCACAACAGAAGTATTGCACAGCATCATACGAAATTGAAGGTGATCCAACGTATTAAGAATGACAGGCATCCTTTAAGATTCTTGCAAAATAAATTAAGATATGTACGTGGTTTGGTAGTTTCACCGTCGATACGAGACATAATTGAAATGCCTACTGTTAAAAATGCACCCAACGCAAGAAATAAAAAAATAATAATACGCATAATGCAATACTTGTATTTCTCCCGCCATTTATTTTTGGAGGTTAGATGTGACAGTGAAAATTACAGGTTTGCGTAAGACAACTCTATTCAGGAAAAATAAAACGACCGGGGTCCTCCAGTTCCTCCATAAAATTTTTTGGAAGTTTCCTTTTTCCTCGACCTAATTTCACTCAAAAAACGTGTTACAACGGTGTAAGTCGGCAATCACATAACTCGGTTTGCGACGTCGCAAACTTCCTGTCATACTTTATTTTTTAAACGGAAAACTACTCAACGGCTATTCTTTAAAACTGCTGTGATTTTTCTTCTCTGTGCGAAGAAAATTCTGCAAAAACTTCATGGAATGATGTTAATTTGTTCTCCTTTAAAAAAATAACATAGAGGCGGAGATTTTCAGACACCGCAAACGAGTTATGCGATTGCCGACTTACACCGTCGGTTAACATTATTTAAGTAGTGTGATTAATGTAAAATTTACTCTGTTTACAGCCTGACAAAAGAAAGCCGTCCATTATGTGCAAGATGAGATAAAGAAGCATCAGCAATCAGAGCGTTCGCCGATCAAAGGGACAGTCGGAACGATCCGTGAGAGAATCGAAAGACATCCATCGGCGGAAACGGGAGAGGCACAAGACACCGAAGACAGAGGCGCAAGGGCTTGACTTTTAAGGAGTCCGAAACGCGCTTTATCTTCGAATTTGATTGGCTGATACATTCTATGCTTGTAGCTGATTGGTTCTCGCGTGCTGGCACGCAGTGAGTTGGACGCTACCGGCGGCATGGCGAGTACACGGAGCGTCGCATCTCTGTTGAATCCCTCTTTGTAAAAAGCCCCGAAGACTTAAGTGGAGTCTCGAGACTTAATTTCCGCTTTCGGGCCACAAAAATGAATTCATGGCATGATAGATGCGTGACCAATTAAATGAAGTTTTTCTACCTTTCAAAAGCTTCAGTTTTTGCCCTGCACATCTCTTGAATAACTGAGAAATATTGAATGTGAGGTCTCTATTTTTCCTTCAGTAGCCGGGTTGCTACAAAATTAAGAGAGTAGAGATCGTGACTTTAGCGCATGACTTATCATTTCATCGAAGCTAAAACGGAAATAGACGGTGGCGACTTGAAAATTTGCAACACTGCTTTTCCTCCATTTAAATGTATGTAAAACAATCGATTCTCATTTTCGATGATTTCAATGGATTTAAAAATACGAAAAACAGTGCTGCCAACTTGCAAAATCGCCGCTGCAAAAAGATTACACGAAACTCTGTCAACTCAAGATTAGAGTGAAAAAAATCGTGCGATCAATATGTTCCCTTTTCCTATTTTTAATTGTTAGTTCCAGGGAGAAAGGGAGAGAGGGCACATGAGCGCTAATCTATAATGGCTTTTTGCCTTATATAGACGATTTGAAAATCAGTTTTTAAAAGTTCACGACTTTATATTGCTATAATTTATAATAAAGCAATTGAATAGGTAGCTGTAATTAAAATCTAGAGTTATTCATAAAAAAGAAGAAAATAATTTAACTTTTCTAAAAACTTGATCTCTATACTTTGCCAGCCCTGCTTCACCACAATTCTGGTGTTTTATTAAGTGAAGTTTACATGTTGAATTTTAGACAAATTTCCTCTTCACGCCTAAATAATCAGTATTTTGCCGAATTTACTGTGGTAACAATTAACACGTTTCGGCTTTAGGATGTCTGTTTTACCTGGATGTAACTTTGAATAATTATGATAACTAACATTAAGTTCATGTTGTATTCAACTCGGTATTTGCGAGATTGAGAAATTAACCAAATGACCTTACTTTACCTTGACTAAATTGAAATGTACATCAAATTTAATTAAATTGGAATAAAGAGAATTGAAATGAATCGCGTCACCTACGAACTGAACTCATGTTGTTGATACTTTATTGAACTCCTAAATACCTATCATTATTTCTCCAATACAGTTTGCCGCTATACTACTTATTGGATTACTTGTTTCTGAAGAAAGCTGTAAGTCCAAAATTGAATTTTTGAGAAAATGGACTGAGGCCTACCGTTCGTGCAGAAAATTATATTGTCGAAGTCCTCCGTTTATCGTAAAATCATGAATTATTCAACGGATAATTTTTCGTCGTTCAAGTGGTACAGAGTCGACGAATTTAAACTTTGACTTAAAAAATAGGAATGATTCATTTCATGTCAGAAAGAAGGCCACACGTGCAATCTTTTATAAACCTGTTTGTTCACTTTTTTAACAAATGACAAACTTTAAGATCAGATGTCGGCGGAAAAGGGTTCTCTTCTATACAATACAGCAGAGACTTCGATATATATGTAACTCGAAAAATGCTTTTATCGGTAATTAAAATATCGCTGAGAGAAGTTATGCTACCTACAGGAAAAAAGAAATTCTAACTCTTTGTATGAATTTTCAAAACAATTCAATCAAATCTTAATATTTACTTCCAAAGGCATTAAAATTGGTTATGAATTCGCAAAAATGATCGATTTTAGGCTATTCATTCATCTTTATAAATTTTCATTGGTGAATATTTTATTTTATTTCTATCCTTAAAATTTGTGATGTACAATATACCATATCTATGTATAGGTACTTCTTTTTATTTATTTTTTTTTACGAAATTATTACTTCATTTTGAAAACATTTACATTTTTAAAACGTGACAAATATTTGTAAAACCTTTCCCAAGTGATGGCATCGATATTAATCTCAATGAGCCGCAGTTGTGCTAAAAGAAACTGTAAAAATGAAGAAAAGAAGAAAAAAACCAAAAGACACGCAATCTTAAGTTTTAACCCATTTGTACGTCGATCTTTTAGAGTAAAAAACGACAAATTTTGAGCGTTTGGTTGCGTGTACACCTCGCTACAGCACAGTAAAAGCACAAAATGTAAAAGAAAAAATTAAATGCTTTGGAAATCATTAAATTTGACACGGAACCACCAATATTTAAAAAACACACATTATATTCTCCTTTGATACAGAATTTTTTATTCATCAATTTATAATAGAAACATTCACGCAGAGTGTGCAAACATTTCAAAATCATGAGTAAAAAAACGCTGATTCTCTACAAGTATAAATATTAGATCCAAACAGAGTGAAGCGGCGTGCTCCGTGCTGCCAGCATGAGAGACTCACTGGCGCCTACAAACCTAAGTGAATACTTCACGCATTGCGGAATGCTTGAAGTATCTACTTAGGTTTGTAGGCGCCTTCACGCATTGCGGAATGCTTGAAGTATCCACTTAGGTTTATAGGCGCCAATGCGCTGGCTGCCCGCCCGTCGTGCGGCAGCGCCTTAAGCAAGTATTTCACAATAGAAGTGTAGCGCAGTATTATACGAAATTGAACGTATTAAGAATGACATGTATCCTTTGAAAGTACAGATCTTTCCTCGCAAAATAAATCAAGATACTTATCGTGCACAGGAAAAATCTAAGAGCCTTCAGCTGAGGCAAATCAAAAAGTTTACCCGGTTAGGTATAACAAGGTAGGAATTTCTTGAAAGATAATTAAGTCCTCTTGCACTAAAGAGGTGTAGAGAGTTTTAGTGAATTTTGTCTCATAGAATTGACGCTCCCCAATTATTACCTAATATCTCAATTATATATTATTCGCCGTTGGACCAAAGGAAAACAAAACATGGAAAAAACAAGCAAACCCTCATTCTTCCAAAATATTTTACATTTTCATCCAAATCCGTGAGCAATAAATTGTCGTTTGTATTTACACGTGGACCAATGAACTTTGGATCTCAACTGGTACGTGGACCAAAACTCCCGTGCCGAAAAAACGCGTGAACGTAAGCCAACAGGAAACACTGGTGTGCGAACAAAAAATCGTTGACGAAATGTCCTATAACCTCGGCATTCAATTTTCACCAAAATTCAGCGCAGCATGACTCGAAAAGGGTACCGAATAGCAACCTGAATAGAGTACTAACAGGTCCTAAGGATACCCACTTAAAGTAAATATTATGTAAATGCTGCGAAAGTTGACATTTTACTTAAGTTTCATCCGTTAAGGCTTTACCTCACCTACGTTACCTAGTTTACTCTAACATTTTATTCTGTTAAATTATTACTTATAAATTAATTTTTGAAAATATTCGAGTAAAAATAGGGGGGAGGGGGGGGTTATCGCGGGAGTAGAGTACGCACTTAAACTCCGAAGCATAAAAATTCGTTGGAGAACGTAATGTTATCGAGGGCTTAGAACGCCTTCATTCAGATCGTAGGCAACTTCATTGGTTTAAGCTCCTCAGTGCTGTCAACCCCTCCGGATTTTAGATTTATAATAATATAAAGCGTCGCAGTTTTAGAGCTGTTGCAGTAACTGGACTAAATTTTTAAATAAGTAGCCACTATTTCTAGGTAATTTTAGAAACAAAATATGTATGCTATTCGATTCCATGTGCCGACAGCGCGTTGTGATTACAGGAAAATCTTGAAAATTATGTTTTGATACAAGGCTACCGAGGGCAGGTGCTTAGTGATTAAAGATTCTTGGAAATGCCATCGGTCGGATGGCGAAGTAACGCGCAAATGAAAAACAATCACAGGAATACGATGGAACAAAACACAGATTGTTGATTTAAAAAACAAAACAAACTAATTGTTTCGTTTCATCATGTTCGAGCAAGTTGTATTTAATTTGCAGTGAATTACGCGTAATTGTGAGCAATTTACTCAAAAACATCAGTTACTTGAGATAGACGAACAGCTAAAATTTTCCTTCAACTTCGCGTGATACCACATACCTACTCTAAAGTTTGAATAGTTGCTCGCTTGATTTCCGCGTTTAAAACCGTGAACAGTTGCGAGAGATTCATCTCAATATCGCGAAAAGTATGCGGTATTTCCAGCGGTTTCGTTACCTCTGAAAATTGTAAAAACTTTTGATCTCGGTATCGCAAAAAAAGCGCGATTTTTTTCAAAATATTTGGTAATCAAACTCACAAATTACGCGATATTCGCCGCAATATCGCCACAAATACCCCAATTTTTCGAGCGGTTCGCCTAAGTCATAAGAAACTACGCTTACTTCGCCTCAAACTTGCGGTAACTTCGCAAAACCAACGATTGGATAAAATCTCAAAAGATCAGACAATTTTCACCTTAATATCGCAGAGAACGCGCCATATTTACTAGTATATCAATAGGAACAATGCACTTATGAACAAACGTCAGTTACTTGAGAGAGGCGCACAGCCAAGATTTTCCTTCAATTTCGCGCGATACCACATACCTACTCCGGAGTTCGAATAGTTGCTCGCTTGCTTTCCGCAGTTGAGAAAATAAGAAGTTAAACGACTTTCATCTCAATATTGCGAGGAATACATGATATTTCCCACACATTTGTTTGTTCGACAGAAATTACGCGCTTCCCATCTGGATATTGGGGGAAATGCACAATTTTTCCGAGAGGAGTCCGTAGAAAACCGAAAATTACACAATAATCACTGCGATATCACCACAAAACCCCGATTATTCCAGCCGTTAGCTCTTCAATCAATAATAAATTACGCATAATTTACCTTAAAATTGCGGAATACGAAAGATAAGACGATTTCACTGAAATATCGCGGGAACTATGGAATTTCTATATCGATAATATCCATAAGCATTACGACGGTGTAAGTCGGCAATCATATAACTCGGTTTTCGACGTCGCAGACTTCCTGTCATACTTTATTTTTTAAATGGAAAACTACTCAACGGCAATTCTTTAAAACTCCCGTGATTTTTCTTATCTGTACGAAGAAAATTCTGCAAAAACTGCAAGGAATGATGTCAATTTGTTCTCAGCTAAAAAAAATAACACAGAGACGGAGATTTTCAGACACCGCAAACGAAATATGTAATTGCCGACTTACGCCGTCGATTAGTAACTCGAGATGGGCAAACAGGTAGAATTTTCCTTCAATTTCGCGTGATACCATATACCTACTCCGGAGTTCGAATAGTTGCTCGCTTGCTTTCCGCAAGAGGAAAGAGAGAGGGTATGAGTTCCTCAGTGAGAAGTTACGCGAGTTTCATCTCAATATCGCGAGAGGTAAGGACGCAATATTTCCAGCGGATTCATTCCATCACAAGAATTTAAACGCCTTTCATCTCGGCATCGCGAGAAGTGCACGATGTTTCCCCCCAAAAATTGTAAAAAAATGAGAGGTAAAGCAATAATCACCGCAATATCGCCACAATTACCCGATTTTTTCAGCCGTTTACTAAAATTGTTAATGAATTCACCTCTCAATTCCGGAGCATACGCCAAATTTTCCAGCGATTGACCAGGATCACAAAAGAATTTTCACCTCAATATCGCGAAGTGTACGCAATTTTTTTTATCATGGCGAACAATGCACTTATAGACATCAGTTACTTGAGATAAGCAAACTGCTAAGATTTTCCTTCAATTTCGCTTAATGCCACACACCTACTCCCGAGTTCGAATAGTTGCTCGCTTGATTTCCGCAAGTAAAAATGTGAGAAGTTACGAGAATTTCATCTGAATATCGTGAGAAATACGCGATATTTCTAGCGGTTTCGTTCGGTTCGGTGGTCAAAAAGAAAATAAATGTTTTCCATCTCGGTATCGCGAGAAATTTGCGATGTTTTCCAAAAAAATTTGTAAAAAAAATGAGAAATCACGCGATAACCACCGCAATATCGCGGCAAATGCTGATCGCTAAAGCAATTTGCAACATTTAAATCATTCTCTTTTCGCTAATTTTGAATGAAGCTGATGCTTAGGATGGGGCTATCTACAGGCATTTCATGGACCCTGTATTAATCTCTCTTCCTGCCTCGTCCCACAGTTTATAGAGGCGTTCCTCGGATCATAGCCTCCACAGTATTTTTTGACACAACGTTATAACTCCATCACTTGAAATTGAATTCAACACCTGTTCGCTCTCCTTTGTTACCCCTGCACAGTGGTCTTGAAGCAAAGACGGTTCACATTTATATTTTTTGTTCGATTCATGTCGATCGAATATGTACCCTCTCGTTGCATGCAGACTTTCTATCATACTCTTTTTTTTTTTTAACTGAACAATTCGCCTTCTGCTGCGTCTGTAGCAGTTGTTGTTACGGATATGTTGTGCGTGCTGACTTCAGCCCATTACATACTCGACTCTCTGAAGGCGTTTCATGTGCGAAAGTAGAGCACCCTATTGGAGAACAACAGAAATGCGATTGAATGAATCGCTCAACTCCTACTTCGTTCAATCTCTGACAGAGTGCGCTACTTGTGCACATGAAACGCCTTCAGAGAGTCGAGTATGTAATGGGCTGAAATCAGCACGCACAACATATTCGTAACAACAAATGCTGCAGACGCAGCTGAAGGCGAATTGCTTTCGCACATAAACGCCTTCAGAGAGTCAAGTATGTTATCAGCTGAAATCAGCACCAACAACATATTCGTAACAACAATTGCTACAGACGCAGCAGAAGGCGAATTGCTCAGTTAAAAAAAAGAGAATATGATAGGAAGTCTGCATGCGACGAGGGGTACGTGTTCGATCGACGTGAATCGAACGAAAAATAAAAACGTTAATGGATCGACGTGAACAGATCGACACCGATTCAGTAGACAAATAAATAAATGAAAAGGAAAAAAAACGATCGAAAACAGAAGAAAACTTGCATTTACTGACTATGCAAATTTCAGATTGCGATATCTCGAGAGTAGGATCAGCCAAAATTTTGATTTTTCGCGCTTTTAAGTCTACACGTACCATAGATTCACCCCTTGCATCCCGTTTTTGGGTATGTGTAACGTTTACGATATGGTAAAGAACGGTTGATGATACGGTGACGAAGGCCTAAGACTCGAGTGACCAAAACTGATGTCTTATCAGGGCTGGATAACCTGTTTAAATCGTCGACAAAATTCGGTGTCCAGCCGCAATAGCTATCCAACCAATAACCGGTTTCGGATTTCCGGTTTTACGTCATCTGCGAGTTCGATTCCCGGTTAGGACTCTTTGACCGTCACATCCATCCAGCCAATATCCAGAATCCCCCCCCCCCCCCCANAAAAAAACCGGCATCGGACCGTGAAGCTACCCGGCCAAATTCCGGTTTTCAGTATCCAATCGCGTCATCTATGAGATCGATCTCCGGTCACGACTGTTTGACCGTCACGTCTATCCAGCCGATATCCAGAATACCGAAAAAGCGGCATCGGATCATGACATGTGACTGTAATCACAGTATTAATTATTTATTAATTTCTGAGTCGGTCGAGCACAACCCCTGGCTTATTTGGCATTGGCATGGAATAACACCGGAGAAGACACCAGGTTGAGTTATTGCAATTCAATGGAGATGATGCATGTGTGAGGAATTTGCGATTTGACTATTGATTCTTATGTAAAAGTTCGCGAGTGGTGCCAGTGGCACAGGATGGTGCCACTGGTTTTCTCTGAAATCAACTCCCAAGCTCAAAAAAAGCTCTCAAGTTGAGGCCAAAATGGAGGGGATATCTCACGCTGTCCTGAGAGTCCACCTCTACATCAAGACAAACTCTCCATGCAAAGCTACTAGCTTTAAGCTAGGGAGCAAATTCATTAGCAGGGTTGCCGTGTTTTCAGTTTTAGAGTCCTCAAATAAAGTGGCAGCCCTGTCAATGTATTTGCTCCCTATCTTTGCACGGAGAGTTTGTCTTGATGTAGACGTGGACTCTCAGGATAGTGTGGGATATCTCCTCCATTTTGGCCTCAACTTGAGCGCTTTTTTGAGCTTGGGAGTTGATTGAAATTGGTTGAAACTCTCCATGCAAAGATAGGGAGCAAATACATTGACAGGGCTGCCACTTTATTTGGAGACTCTAAAACTGAAAACACGGCAACCCTGCTAATGAATTTGCTCCCTATCTTTGCATGAAGAGTTTGTCCTGATGTAAAGGTGGATTTGTTTTGGAATCGTTGCAGGCATCGGCCTGATGACTTCCACATTCAAGCCACATTCAGCGTGTGATTGCGGCAAAAAGTGGTACAAACTGAGTCAGATTGCTTCAAGAAATGAATCACTCTGACGTAGACATGAATCTACTTGATGTCAGCCTGAAATTATTCTGGTGCAGACCGAGTAGACAGATGCCATTGTGATTAGTGTGGAGACAAAACGCTCAGAGTAACAAAACACTGCTTCAGGAAACAAAGTCAGTCTATTCCGTCGCTGATGCTAGAATAAATCTTTCTCTTAGAGTGCATATAAATACCTGAATTAAATCAATGCAAATATTAATATTGAAATTGAGCCAGACCCCCAACAACAAAATATTTGTTCAGGGTGATAATGCTTCCAGTGAGAGTTTTAATGGTGTTTGTCAATGATAAATGCTTTCAATGAGGGATAAAAAATGACATGGTGGGAAAGTAATAAAATGTAGCCTACTTACTCTTGGTATTACATCCAACAGAAGTAGTAGGTACATAGTGGTATAGGTACCTAAAGCCGATCGTGCGGATTCTGACTGACGAAATGAAGAGAACACGTCTTTACGAATTAATGTAGAAGCCGCAAACCGAAACTACCGGTGAACCGAAATTATTCATATTCACGGACCAGTTTAATTGCAACAGACACATGCTTTCAATAACAAGACCGTAACTACCGTGGTGATAAGTGATACTGATGACACTAAACAAATACAAAAGAAAATGTATCAACTACATTTGATCAACTACAAACGCTGCAATCAAAACACAACCTAACTTTTTGCACGTAAACATGCGGTTGGCGCTGGAAACCAAAAACTTCGCTTCTGATTGGCTCGAATCGCTTGTCACGTGACTTTCGTTTACATTTTTATCATTTTATCATCAAAGAAAACTCGTCAACGTTATCACTTCATCATTTCGGCTTTCGCTTCAAACTAGTTAAGTAATTGACTTTAATATTGATAATAACGGTAAGTAATGCCTCTTAATTATAGCTTATATCTTTTATCGACATTTAGAGCAATTTTTGACCCATCCGTTCGCTCATAAATTCAACTAAATCAGCTTGTGCTGCTGCATCTGAACCACAGGAGATTTATTCACTGAAAATACAGACATGTTATGTAATCAAGTCTTCGAACGGTGATGTTATAAATCAAGCATATTAATCACATCAGTACCCCTCTCCAGTTTTCAGTTTTGGAAAGTCTTTCACTTCTCAAACCATCCGTGCATCTGTTCTCAATTCATACTCACAGTGTTTGACGTTTCAATCCTCCTCCTGCGAGTGTGTTTTATTGCCATATACCTAAAGTTGAAAGCAGACTTTTATTATCAGTATGTCATCTCTGTTTATCTTGATTATTTTGAAGTATTTAAACATATAATCTCTTTTAGGAAGTGTTTTGTAAACTTTGATTTACAAGCATTTTGCACTAAGGTAATACCAAGCTAAATCCGTCGCCCAGTTTGGATTTATCAAAATTTAATATCCCGCCTTATGTATTGTTGCTGTAAGTACTTCTGGTAACTGCAATGGTCGTTGGCTAGAGTCTTTGCATGACAATCACTCATTCAGCTTTTACCAGCTCACTGACAACCAGTGGACATTTTGTTAATTTAACGCTTTCAGTATATTTTCCATGGAGTAAAGTGAAATAACTCATAGCATTATTTAAGTAACACGGACTGTGGTATTTTTCTGTGTATTCAAGTGCAACTTCTATTTCTTTTCGTCTTATTTTTAGTTTGATCTGATCAGTTTGATATATCAGCAGATAATTGAAAAGATAGCTTTTTTGGCTTCTTCAGCCATCCTTGAGTAAAAAGCAACCATGTATGGAGAAAATACAGGACCCTGAGTTCTAGATAAAGTTCGGAGGACAATTAAAATCTAGGCGGCCCCTAAGTTTTTTCCTTAGTAGCTCTGGTACCATGTACCTACCTGTCTCAAGTGCTCTAACACATGTCACAAAATTAAAAAACACCTAAAATTGAAGATTCTGCCGAAGTTCTGATTTTGGTCGTCAAATTTAATTTTTTATCTTTTAAATTATGTTTAACAAGAGAATTTTACCTTATGAAGTAGTGTACCTGATCTACATTTGTCATTTTACTTTGTTTATTATTTTACAGAGTTTTCTAAAATTTTGGGTGGCGAAAGCAACTTTGATTTTGTGGAGAAGCATGTCGGACAAACCTGTCATCACTACAAGTTATGGAAAGCTACAAGGGGGAACCGCAATATCCAGGAAAGGAAGGAAATTCCAGTATTTTTCTGGAATTCCATATGCAGAACCACCTGTTGGTCCTTTGCGGTTCAAGGTGGGACAATAAATTAAATGTAAACTTGAAGGAGGTTTATGACTCAACCACCTCAAAAACATAGCAAATTAGAAGTGTGTTCAAAAATTTTACATTGGTAGTAATTATACTGCCCTCTAAGTTTTTTTTTTCAAAATTACAGATACTTTGGGGGAGGGGGGCAGCCACAGCAGAACCTCACTATTGTTATACATTTTCCTGTCTTCTGTTTTTAAAAATTGAAAATTGTACAATTTTAGTACTTGAAATGTATGTGTGTATGTGTATGTACAATTTTAGTACTTGAAATTCATATTGAAAAAAAGAAAATGAATGCCTCTTGCATCCTCTTACTTTAGACCAGTTTCCTTCCACAAAATTGAGCCCTTTAATTTTGTTGCTTTTGTCTTAATAGCCACCAATTCCTCACAAAGGATGGGAAGGGATTCGTGATGCTTCAAAGGAAGGAAGTCCTGCTGTGCAGATTGACATGTTCTCTAGCAAAACGTGTGGGAGTGAGGACTGTCTTTTTGCCAACATTTACACACCAACAGTAAGTTCCTGAATGAAAGTTTTTTTCTTCTTTTTTTTTATTTTATTTATTCCTCAGCGAAGCATATACGTATTATAATAATTTGTTACCTAAAAAGATGACATAGTTATAACAAAGAAAACAAGGAGACTTTGAGACAGCGAGCAAACACATTTGTTACATTAGAAAAGGCACTATTGCAAAGAAATAGAATGAAAGTGCCAAGCTAAATACTTACAATATAATTTTACAAGCTGATGAAGTTTCCTCACAGATTTTTACCTTTGTCTCCTTTTACACCATTGTATAGAGTAATGATTATTAATGTGTAAGATCCAGTGACAAGCGCTGAAATCTCGTCTCTCCCTTGCTTTTTACTTGAGTCACCTCTGATTCTTAAGTACGTCAAAACCAGTAAGGCAAGCAGGAGCTTGATGTTTCCTCTTCTATCACACTTATGAGCTCAACCAAAAGTTAGTCAAGTGAAGTAGAATATTTTAGTGCTTGCCACTGGCATGATGATCACGAAGTCATAACTTCATACCATACAGCATCCAAGACTCCAAAAAATTTAAAATGGCTTATTGATCAGAATAGAATCAGAAATGTCAACTAAGTATTTGTCTACAAAAAAAATATGTATCCTGGAATAAAATTAAATGCAAGGAACAAGGCTAAAATGAAAAGTTCTCAACCAGGAACGTTTCACCTGACCCTAGCCAGTTTAGCTCAAACAAAAATTCAGCAAATTTGGAAAATGCAAAAATTGATGAAAATCCTGCATGACCAAAAATCAGAGAAAAGAATTTCTGATTTTCTGTTTCTTGATTAGAAATTCTCTTCTCTGGTTCACGGTTGAGCAGGTTTCAAATTGATTTGTATAATTTCAAAATTTGTCGTATTTTTGTCAAATTAAGAACGACCAAGTGGTTCGCTCAAACACTTTTCATTTAGTATTTTTTACTTTAGCCTTGTTTCCTGCTCTCTATTTTTATTTTATAGTCTTGTATTTCTACTGTATGAGACATTTGCTATTGGTAAAATTGTTTTTTAGCACTATAAGAGGCAACTTCTACTGAGATATGTTGCTTTAATTTAAGGCATTCTTCCAAAAATTCTCAGAAAGAAGGCCAAAGAATTAAATTGTGAGTGGATCTTGAATATTGTATAAATGAAACCTTCTGGGCTGTTTAACTGATTAAAAATTAACATTGTTTCATTTCCAGTCCCACAAATACCTACTTGCCTCACTATTCAATTATGTATATTATTTATTCTTCGGTGAATCATTTTCTGTTTTTAAATGTGTAGTGTGATGGACCTTTGAAGCCAGTTCTGGTATTGATTCATGGAGGTGCCTTTGGAATTGGATCGGGTAGTGCTGTACTTTATGGAGGAAATTTTTTGATGGATCATGACATCGTATTGGTAACCTTCAATTACCGTCTTGGTGCTCTTGGTAAGCATTAAAGTAGTTACAAAAAATGCAAAAGATGTAATGCTGCCATTTAAAAGTTTTGACAGTAATTTATTTACTGGTACCGAGTGGATACATTATCATTTTCATTTTTCCTACCCTCTACATTCATTTGATGTGTGAGGTGCTTTTCAGAGTATCAGACATTTTTTAAAATATTATTTTGAATTCAGTTGTGCCATTCTTAAAGCATAGTTTTGTGGACTTTCCCCCCTTAAATCTTCTTTAAGATCCTTTTGACAATCAACTTTATTTCAATTTTTTGTTTTAAATCTCACACCATGAAGCTCTTTTTTGAGGGTTTAAAAGTTGTTCCCAAAACATCCTTTCATTAGTTCTTGCATCAATGAAAATGTGTACTGTAAATAAAAAATATGACCAAGTACCACAGTTTTTTGCAAGTGTAGTGCAGAACAAAGTTTTTGCACTTGATCATTGCAGGGATAGTCTAACACCTAGTAATAGGGAAACAATTTATTACATTATACTGCAATTGACTAGGGTGTGCAGGCAAGGTGAGAAATCATGCTTTCCAGCTCATAGTTTCTCATCAAAATTGCCCGCAAAAAATGTTGAAGATATTGAGAACTTCTAAAATTAACTCATGGATGAGATGTAAATGTTGGTAGTTTACATTATAAACAGTGATTTCTCTTTTTTTTTTCTTATTGGCTCTTGTCTTTTCTCTATTTAGGTTTTCTGAATTTAGACGTAGAAGGTGCCTCTGGAAACATGGGAATGAAAGATCAAGTCTTACTCTTAAAATGGATTCAAGAAGAAATTAAAAGCTTTGGTGGAGACCCAAATAGTGTTACAATTAGCGGATGCAGTGCTGGTGGCGCCAGTGTCCACTATCACATGGTCTCACCGCTATCGAAAGGCCTCTTTCATAAGGCGATAGCAGAAAGTGGGACGATTCCATGCGAATGGGCTTTCATGAAACACCACTACAAGAGCAGCTTTGATTTGGGGAAACACCTTGGCTTTGATGCAGGAAACAAACAAGAACTGTTGGAACATCTTATGACAGTTCCAGCAGAACGTTTTGCTGGAGTGCAGAATCTTGTTGTGCCTAAGGAAAAGATTGTTAAAGGGAACGGCTGGGCTTTTGTACCTAGTGTTGAAACAGTTGGAGATAACAGATTTTTGTCCACCGATCCTCATGAATTGATTGTCGGCAATAATGCAGCTGATGTACCTTTCTTGACGGGTGTTAACACCCATGAAGGGTTTCTCATTTTGGCAAGTAAGTTTTTTTTTCATTTTCCAAGATAACCAGGTTACACTTGTCAACAATGTACTTATTTATTTACTTTTTTTAAAAAGAGAGATGCAAAAACGAAAACAACAACAGCAATATGTGACACACATGACACTTATATGACATGATGAGTCATTCCAAAGTACTTTTTAGTGCAAATCTCAGCAAAATAGTTAGTATCTCTCTCCATAGCCTTTCAATTCTCTGGAAAATCAAAATATTTTTCCTTAAAAATATTATCTGCTTCATGGATAACTCAACTCTTTTGAATCCTGGTGCATGACAAAAAAATATCAAGGCATTTTTCAATTCAGCAGCAAAAAATTCATCGGAAAACATATATTGTAAGCAGGAAAAATTTTCCCAGCTGCTCCAGAAACGAAGCTTTTTCAATCAGATTACATTATCCGCATAATGTACCACCATGCAAGGCAGATTCAATTAATTAGCATTTGAAAAGACGGGATAATTTCATTTTTAAGTTGTTACTGAAAAACCATAGTCAAAAAAATTGGATAACCCATCACCTGTCATTGGCGTTTATAAATGCGATAATTCTTGGTTCGTTATTTATTTTTTTATTTTCATTCTATTTTTTATTGATCAAGAAGTTGAAACCACCCTAAAACATCCTGAGAGCTTTGCTTTGCTTTAGTGTTAGGTACCTATTTTATTTGTTATCTTTTACAACCTTGGTCTCTCAGTACTCATACAATTTTTATACTTTTTGTTCCAGAACTTACAAGTCATCCGCATGTACTTGAGACATTAAACAAAGACTTCAAAGTTATATTTGAAGACCTGGCATTTCCTCCATCTCTAACGACTGAAGAAATTGCAGCACTTGCAAATAGGATTAAAAGTAAATATTTCAAGGAGGAAATCATTGAATACCCAAAACACTTTCAAGAACTTGTTGATGTAAGTCGTCTCTCTTTGTCTTTTAAAAGGTTTACCATCTTGTTCCCAATAATTGGTATCTAGACAAGTCATGTATTAAAACACAATGGCACATGTTTACTCTTTAAAATTTTACGCAAAAAACGAATCATACCATGGGGAATCCGGAAATCAACTCTTGAACTTGATGTAAGTGTTCGCAATTAACATTGGTTAAATGGCAAAAATACAATTGACGTCATTTGTATAATCTAACTTCTGTTTTGCTGATAACACCAAAACAGATTGATACAGCTTTCACTCTATCTAGAGCACATCAATCAGGTGTAGCATAATGGATTCTAAGCTCCGCCTATCTAAAATAGGCATAAACCAGCATGCTTGAATTAATGCAAGATACAACACCATGGCTTCTTGCACCGTTTACTGTCACTTTTGAACCTACCTAGCTTGCTTGACTAGATGGAAAGGGATACTTGATTAGATGATCAAGTTTCTATTAGTTTGTTCCATTATAGACATCTTGTAACATTTTCCTTTTTCAAACGATTACTAATCAAGGTTTTTGTGCAAAGTTTTGTGTACTTTCTTTTTATCATCTTGAAAATATTCTGTAAAAATTTTGCAAAAAAAATTCAGGTACAAATTCTTCTAAAGAGGAAAAAAAAGAACATGGTTGGAAATTTTTAATCAACATTACTCAGATTTGTGGTTTTGTATTTTCACCATGATATTTTACTTCTCAATGGGTCAGTTGCGCTGGTCACAGAAGTGTATTTTGATGCTTGATTCTTGTAGATTAGCTGAAAATTATAAGATCTGTCCAAACCTCAACTTTCTACGTTCAATAATTAACGATATATTGCCATTCGAAAAGTCAGGTTTTTGACGTCATTCACTGCAGCAGTGACACCCTTGGTTTCTTCCTCTTTTGTTCGATCAGTGTTGTGGAGGGTGCAATGCAAAACTTCAGCGGCGTTAAACGTAAACAAACTGAGGTGAACTGACAGACCGCCTAATCTCTTTGCGGCGAGTGTGTTATCTCTTGATAAGAAGATCTTTAAAGTGCGAATCCGTCTGTTTCTTGAGTTTGTTTATGTTTAATGTCGCTAAAATTTCGTGTTGCACCCTTTGCATCACCGATTGAACAAAAGAGGAAGAAACCAAGGGTGTCACTACCGGCGGTGCATGACGTCAAAAACCTGACTTTTCAAAGAGCGATATCTCGGTTAATATTGAACATAGAAAGTTGAAGTTTGGACAGATCTTATTATTTTTTGCTAATCTACAAGAATCAAACATCAAAACACGATTTTGTGACCAGCGCAACCGACCCATTGTAGTGAAGTGACTGCATCTCAACTGTCCGTTGATGTTCAAATTTTTTGAACCTCATCGAATATCAGTTTTTTTTCTGTTTATGACAGCTCTATGGAGCACTTCTCATAAAGATTTCCACTGTTCTCACCGTTCATCATCTCAAGAATAAACCTCGGAAAAACCCAATTTTCTTCTACACATTTTCTGTGGATACACCGCTGGGATGGTACAAGCAAGATCTCATCAAGAATAAGACACTAAAACCAGGACAAGAAGGTAATTTTATTTTAAAAAAAAAAATAGATTCTTTTTAAATTTTTGTTCTGTCTCCTCCCCTCCCCTTTCCCAGTTTTTCATGGATTTCACTTAAAGCCTCAATCATCGGAGGGTTTAATAAAGAAAATACCTTGTTGAGTAATTATCTGAATTCTCAGAAAAAACTTCTGAAAAGAAGATACTTTACCATGAGCCGTTGTTTAGTTACCATTAGTTCCAGGGTGGAACGCCATTTCAAATCTGAATTAGAGATTGGATAACTCTTTTTTGTTTGAAAGATGTATTTGATTTTGAAAGTTATGAGTTAGTAACAGTATAAGTTTATGTAGCAAATACTAAACTCAGAAACAGTAAAAATATGGAAATCTCTTAAAGTTCCTGCTCACAGGCCTCAATGGTTAAAAGAGGGATACCTGCGAACTGCTGAGTGTTGTAATTGCTCTTTCTGAGAACATTTGCTTGTCAATGGTTGATTCAAGCTTATTTTATGCAGTCCTTCTCTTTTGTGTATTTCATCGTTGGAGACTCAGAGAGCATTACTCAGTGTACTCAAGTCTCCAAGAAAAGATAGAACTACTGTCTATCGTATTTCGGTGATAATTTTACAGAACTTTTCAGAATATTGTCAGCAAAATCGAAATTTGCAAAAAAAATTGTGTGAACTGTTATTAATTAGCATTATCGCAGAAATTGAAGAACTTAATGAAAAACCAAATTCAGGGGCAGGGCACTCTGCATGGAAGTATTCCTCTCCCCTTTCTGGAGCAGATTTGCCAGAGAATAAATTTCTTTTCTTTCATTAGTTTTGAATTATATTCATATTTGTTTCACATTTTAATTTATATCGCCTCATTTTCAGGAGTTTCTCACTGCGATGAGCTTGGTTATTTGTACAGCTGTGCTTTTAACACTGGAAAAGTCATTGAAAAAGGATCTTTGGCTGATGTAACCATAGAACGAATGACCACAATGTGGGCAAATTTTTTGAAAACAGGGTAATTATTCATAGTCTCTATTTTTCAATGTCTAACATTCTACGCAGAAGTCTCAAATTTATTAGTATGAACACTGACAAAGAAAGTTGGCAAAGATGGATATAGCTCATAAAATCTCGACTATGAGCCCACAGGGAAAAAATTGCTATTAAACATATTTACTGTGTCTAAGTCATTGAATATGCATTTGTTCAATCGTTCACTCATATTTTGAATACCGAGAAATAGTCCTTTTTCCTCCCTTTGAACTCTGAAGACCTGTGTCTTACCATATGGCATCTTCTTTAATATGATGAAACTTCATTAAGTTATTTTCCTGATCACTGAGAGGTAAAAACTAGTTGGCCACTAGATGATTCCATGTGTCATTTTTGAGCTTGTCCCTGTGAAAAAAGCATTAATAAAGTACTGGGCCTTGCATTATCGGAGTTTGGAGCGGGCATAGCTAAGTCTAAGGAAAATCATTGAATTTCATTATCTCATTGTTACTTTTACTCACTACGCAAACGTTCATTCATTGATAGACACTTGCCTACTCTTTCTTTGAGGAAACTGAAGTATAACCTGCCAGTCTCGTGTACTCTCTCTTTTGCGACCCAAATGCTACTTACTCACAGTGACCTGCTATTGTTAGCATTTAAAAAATAATTTATTCAGCTTTCTTTGTCATCTGTTTTTCCTCTCGTGTCTCATCTCTTTTCTCTATTCATACTTTTCAGCTTTCCTCAAAAGCTAATACATCCACACTGAGCTTAAGTTATGCAAATAGCCATGGATGGAATCTTTGATTGCCAAGTGAGACTTTAATGAATAGACGTTATCTTAAGACAGTTGTTCTAAACATTTAGGAAATGATAAAAGGCTACATGTTCTTTCATTATAATTTACAGAAATCTTATTCTTGTAAATAAATGTGCGGTTGTTTTCTACAGCTAAATTTTTCTAAATTTATAACTTGTACGGCCCGGTTGTAGACATTTCTATACCATGCAGCAGACCAGTTGCAGTTCAGTCTTTTGAAAAAAACGTGACAGACACTGGGAACCATGTTGCCTCATTCATTAGAGCACTAGAATTTGGCAAAAATTCGCTACTTTTTGTGTAGGAAACTATTTATGAGACTCGAGATAATAGCAGTTAGGGAAAACCTGGGAAAGCCAGGGAATTTTGTTCGAGCTCAGGGAATCTTTTCATTCAAAAAAAGACCGCATTAAGTGGAAGGTCCACTCTACCTAAAATGGTTGAGGGATTAATTTTCTCTCAAAGTCAGAGAATTTCGCCAAAATTAGTCTGAACTATTTTTTATAAGTCAGAAAAGTAAAGGAATTTTCATATTTAAGTTCAGTTACCAACCTGATACTGTCTCAAGTGAAAAATGCGCTGTGACTTGGAGGAGAAGAATAATTTGCACCTTTGTTATAAAGTGTTACATATTCATGAATGTAGTGCTACTGTTCTTGCAGGGACCCAAGTGCGGATATTAAATGGAAGCCTGTCTTCTCTCCAGAGTTTGATAACCCAATGGGATTGAATATTGGGGTGGACCTAATATTCGAACCTGCTAAAGAATTTGAACTCTTATCAACCTTCAAGGAACTTATTAAACCATCTGTTTAAATGAAGAACATCGAGCCATAGTTGGTAAACCATCTGCATATCTCACTGGTATGTGTTTACTGCTTCAAATCTTTTATTTTTATGATTTTCTGGATTCTCAGAACTCATGGCGTTCAGCAATTTATGAACAATCCAATTGCATGCAAGGAAATGTTTGCCTCAGCGTTCATTTCGGTTCTTCTTATTTGCATGCTAAAACCGTCCACTTGTCAAATTTTATTCACATGAACCAATGGTATGGTTTGAATTTTAAAAAAATATTTTTTTAATTTTTGAATGCTTAAAAGCAAAGATTTTGCTTTTTTTTGTTGGACTGAAGCTGACTTATTCTACTTTGAATAGTGATTTTTGTGTCAGCATCTGTTGGTGTTGCATTTAGCAAGTTTCAGCTAACTTTTAGTTTGTCTGTGCTTCAGTTTTATGTGCCTATAAAATACAAGATTTATTCCTGTTCTATTTTATTCCATTCTCATCAGACACAATTTTTTTTGTTTCATAATTGGTTCCTACTCTTGCAACAAATGAAATTCAGTGTACACTGTCACAAGTCAAGGAATATTTTTTGATGGAATTAGAGAGGGTTGTGTTCCCTGTGCGAGTCACATTATCCACCACTCGAGAACCCCTGAAAATTGATAAATATCAAATTCCAATTTGATCAAGGAGAGTGCATTTATTATTTCAAGGGCCCACTCATAAAATATGTAATGCTTCAGAGAAAAGAGGGGGGGGGGGTTGAGAAGAATGTTACGCTGTTTTGTTTTTAAGTGTCAAAAGATGCGAGATCTTTGTCACAAAACTGTTAAGGGGGGTGAAGGGGGATAAAAAATCCGAAATTTTGCAGCACGCTTTTTTACTCACAGCCCCAAAGTAGAAAAGTTAGATGCAAGGATGAAAGGTTTAAACCAATTTTCAATAAATCTGTTGAAAGTAATCGTAGAATTGACGAATTTGATATATGTTAAATTCCTAAAAATTATTTATCACAAGTTACAAGCTCTCTGTGAGTTGGGTTCGTAAAACCTGAATGGTGAAAAGATATTCAACCTACCTCACTTTGAGAGGTCGCATTAATCTTGGTGAATGATAATAACTGCAACTTCTACTTCCTTGTGTAAACTTGGATTTGTTGCACTCCGCTGCACCTAGGTGCAGTTTTCCTTGTGTAATTGGGTCAGCATAAGGAAAACAAACCACAGAAATTCACAAAGATAATAGTATGCAATGGAGGGTCAGTCTGAGAAATTAGTCATGATTGCAAGGTCAATGCACATCTTTCCACTACTGGTTGCGTGTGATCATTCAATTTAGGTGGAGGTCATTGGCCTCCGTGAGCCAACCATTCATATGCCCAAATGTGGTGACCTACTTCTTCCAAATAGTCCACAGCACTGCGTAAACATTCTGAGGAAGCTTCCATTACCTTGTAAAAGGATCTATTTGTGTGAATCCTTTTAGAGGAAATTAAACATTATTTTTTTGTTGGGGAATGGGGAGGGGCTACTATTTATAATTGCCTGAAAATTTCTAATGTTTAGCTAAATTTATTTGGTAAAAAATTACTTAATACCTTAATGTCTTCTAAATTTTTCACCTTTTAGCTATTGCCACGTTAGCCCTGAGTACATAAGTAAATCTGACGCTATATTTAAAACACTCTATCGAAAAATTATAGCCAACAGAAACTTAGTATAGAGGAGGTCAAAATAATTGCTACTACTCCTAGAAAACTGATTGCCTATTGTTGTGCATCTTCCTTTGAGGTTTAATCTCATTCAAGAAACCTTTTCTACAAAATTAGTGCATTAATTACAACAGTTTGTAGAATGCAGGTTGACATAGGCTCAGAAATTTCTATCTCTTCTTGAACAAAGCCATTAAAAAGGGCCATAGAAAGGACAAAGGTAATGTGTACAAAACACGGGTTATGGCACCTGAAAAATGGAAGGAAACCATAGATTCTCATCAGTAAATTTCTATAGAAATGAAGGGAAATCAGTGTAATACATATCCGGAAATTAAGAAATTTTAGAATTCTTTAATGAAACTAAAAACTTTTGAGTCTTGTGAAAGACCCTCTCACATTCTCACATTCTCACATCCTCGCCCTGAACATAAATGCTGAATTTACCCATCCCCTTCCCTTAAAATTTTAATCCCCCCCCACTCTATCATGCCCCTAATTTTTCAATGAATACATCATGGATTTTATATTATTTTCGTAACTTTTCCCTGTTCTTGAAGTCATTCCAGGGAGGATGAAGGTTATGTGGAATGCACTTTAGAGTAAAGGGGGAAATTAGAAAACATTCAGAATTCTTTTTTTTTTTTTTTTTTTTTTTCTTTCTTTGCATTTAGTAGGAAAGTCAATTTAATCAAAGTCAAAGATGGGATGAGATTTCAGTGATGCTTGATTTACATTTTACCATAAATTACGTGAAGTGCTCTCCTGATTTTTAAGCCCCCTCGCTCTCTGTATGGCACCTATTAAATAATTACTAAAACCGGACCTGACCCCATCTCCCCTCCTGCTGGAATAAACTCTCGTTAAGAGTAAAAGGCATTGAAACAAAATGTTACTTTTTCAGGAAAATCAACCGGTTTTTTTGACAGTGTGTTCTTGGAAACTTCTTGGAAAGAAACTAATACTTTCTCTCTTTCTCAAGTAAGACACTTCTTTGTAATCCCTTTCTCCCTTCAATGAGGCACCCCTCCCAGATGTCTAATGTAATTTGCAGACAGCTCAAGGGGGATTCTGGTTTGTATTGTGGATGAATTACAGAGGCCGGAGGGGGGGAGGGATTTAAGTATGTATTAGGGGCTTAAATGTTCTGTTTTATCTCAATAATGAAACATTTAGGTATTTCCTCCCTCTGTGGTTTTATGCGGTTATTATTTTGTTGAAGTTTTAACACATTTATTTTTTTCAATTTTACAAATATTTTTATTCTCTCCCTGCAGCATTTACAGTGACGTATCTTATGCTGCTTTAAAACAAAATTCCCTTCTTCTGCATTGCAGCTCCTCCTTTCAGTGTAGAAGTCGAATAATGAATCATTATTTAATACAACTTAAAGGATGAGTTTCTTCTAAAAAATACTTATTTTTAGTTTAAAGAAGTTGTGGTCTGTTTTTCCACTCCTGCAACAAAAATTAAGCGTTCAAAGTCTCAATGATGAAACTTCCTCTCTCTCATGCTTTTCTTGCGTTTTTGCTGTTTTTTTGTTTTGTTTTTTATTCCAAACTAGAACTCATTTGCAACACTTTTTCTTTCACCGTATACCTCTCTTCACTTCCTGTAGGAATTGGGCTATCTAATAGCTTTCCTACAGAGCTCTCAAAATGACTAATGCTGCCGTGCTAAGGAAAAACGCTGTATGAGCCTTTAGACGTTGCCATATTTCCTTCAATGACAATTGAATTTACTGGGAAAATTCTGAATATTTTTAACATAATTAATCAGGGGAAATTTGACAACTCGCGAATGTTCATACGGCGTTTTTCCCTAGCATGGTAGAATGGGAATAACTGGTTGACAAGATGAAGTGGGAGTGCATTCTGTCTGCTACTAGACTACTGTTCCGCACTAGTGGCAAAACGTTGTTTGCACTTTGCACGCGCAACTCTGGAAATAGTCTAATGCTTCCTATGTACCTGCTTTTTATTCAGGCAATAACACAGGGGGATATGAATGAACTCTAGAACGTTCGAATTGATTTGAATATTAATTTGTCTCTGCTCTTCATTTGAAGTTTTGCCTCCCGGTAGGAGTGACCTTTGTTAGTTTCTTTCCTGGGAAGTGATTGTGTTTGGTTTACATTGTTAATTACTGTGGAATTTGTCTGGCGAATGCAGAAGGAATACTAAATAAGGTAATTTTTTTTTTTTTTTTGCTATGGTATGACTTAGCTGTAATTTCAAGAGCTTAGTAGGTCCAAACTTAGAATGTCTCTATCTAATAGCCCTCATTTTTTATTAAATATAGACATTGATGTTTAATAAATATTCGACCTTCAGACAAATTTTGATGAAAATATTTTTCCTAAAAATTCTGCAGTCCAAGTTTATGGCTTTTTTGGAGGTGACCAACAACCCTTTTTTTCTGACTTCTACTTTTTAATTGGGTGCTTTTACACTAAAAATTTATGTTGTTTGATGTTCTATATATATACCATAATAGTATTATGAAAAAACGTTGCAAATAATTTTTTCCCTCTTGGAGTTTTAAAAAATTCAAAACGAAGAGTCCTTGTTGGCTTCTTTCTTTAAGAAAATTTTTTTAAGTTTCTTTGTAGTGCGAGTGTTTCACAAAAGTACCATTCTAAAATTTGCATGAGTTTGCATATTTCTGCCGACTTTCAATGGTGACCTTGCAGAAATGCATATCTCAGTTGGGGACATTGCAGGCTTCCTGTCACACTTCATTTCCTACATGGAAAACTGCTGAACACTTTTTTGAAAATTTCGGTTGTTTTTCTTTTCTACTTGAAAAATATTCTGTGAAAATTAATAGCCATGATAATGGTTCGGTTTCCTGTTAAAAAATAAATTAGGTATGGAGATTTTCAAACAGTCCAACCGAGATATGCACTTTTGTAGTTTTGCTATTGTTACGTATGGTATTAATCAGTGAAGGAACATTAAAATAGCAGTAAGGCTGAGCAATTATAAAACTTCAAGACCATGTATCTTAGTTCGCAATATTGCAGTTTTCCTTTTATATTTTAATTTTTTTAAAGGATCAGCATTCATTATTATTGCATAAAATACAACGTGATTTTTCCTTTAACGGATATCCTCTGAATGGTTTTTTTTTTTTTTTTTTTTATTTTTTTTAAAAAGTAAAATATGAATAGTAATTTTACAACCCTGGAATCAAGGCACATAATTTTTTAGTTTCATTATTAATATTTTTTCAGTCACATCATAAAAGACTTTTTCATCTTCATGAATTTGAACCATAAAATCGCCCAAAATCTACAATTATCCCATTTACACATGTCTTTAAAATGATAGCATCAACATTTTATTTTAGGAAAAATGTCAAACCCTGATCAACCAGAAGTTAGGATTTCACAAGGTGTTTTACGAGGTCGAAAGAAAACATCTATCTTGGGTCAAACTTACTACAGTTTCCTCGGCATTCCATATGCTAAGCCCCCAGTCGGTCATCTTCGGTTCAGGGTTTGTAAAAAATTATCAGTAATTTTTGCATTTGTAATTTATTAGTTGTTATTGAATCACAGAAAACGAATGGATTAAGGAGTAAGATTGACAAGTATCTCTTACAGGCTCAAGTATATAAATGCTTCCTGAGAGGAAAAAAAAACCTGGTAGAATCGTAATGAAATTCTAATTCCTGCGAATGATGACAGTGTCTGCACAGACAAAGCAACAGCTCCTCATCTTTACTAAAAAACACTAGTAGTAGAGCCAGAAAATTTACTTTTCAGCCCTATTTATCTTGACATTGACACTTAGAAAGTTAGATTTTAAATGCTCATCTTGTTCAGGAGGCTGTAAGGAACATCGTATCAAATAACGTCAAAATTTATGCAGCATCAAATTTTTTGGAATTCCATGCGCAGTCCTAGAAGTGACCCTTAGTTGGTCCCTATTCAGTGGCGTAAAAGGAGGAGGGTTCAGGGGGTCTGGACCCCCCTCCCCCTTAGCCTCGTTAATTGTACCTTTTTTTTACTTTTGGAGGGCAGACATAAAATATTATCAGGGATGTACACAAAATAATGTAAATTTACCGTCACGTTTTTGAATGAACCCCCCCCCCCTTAAAGAATTTCTAGTTACGCCACTGTCCCTACTCCTTCTCTCCCTTGTAATAAACCGTACCAAAATCGTAGACCTTTTCCACCGGAGTTTTACATAATGCATAAACCGCTCATTATCACATGCAGTGAACATTTTATTTTTGCACTGAAATATCTATTTGTAAAAAACTTACACATTCCCTTTGCATAGTTCCTTTTGTACTGATCCTCCTTCTTCTCCTTAGGCTCCGCGACCTCCCTCTAACTGGTTCGGAATCCGAGATGCCTCACGAGAAGGAGATGTCTCACGGCAACTTTACCCACACCCTAGCCAAGCTGGCCACAGCTTGATTGGCAGTGAGGATTGCCTTTACTTAAATGTCTTCACACCCTCAGTAAGTTTTGCAGCATACTTATTTATAAAAAGAAAATTATAGAAACTTGTGGTTGTGATAATGCTGAAGTAGCATCAACTCTGACCAGTGGCAATGACATCATCAAGTTACTGCCATGCTGATGAAATTAAGTACCCATAGAAAAAATGTCCATCGAGTTGCAATACTAACGTAATTTCTAGTAAGTTTCACTTAGTGACAAACGCAGGAAAGGATTTTTTAAACTTCATTTTTAAAGTTTTGTGTTAAGTGCGCATTGAAGAACACCCTCTTGTAAAACTTTTTTCTGTATCTAGGCATAGACAAAAAGACATACTCTTAATAGAGAATTAAATTTCTCTAAAACATTATTTCCAGTAAACATTTTTTCAAAAAAACTTTTAGGTATGCTTTGAACTGTCACATGACATTGTTGAGTTGTAACATGCATATTTATTCTGCGTATGTAATTCTATGATTTTTCAGGTACCTGTAAAGAATGCAGAGACAAATATTCTCAAACCTGTTATGGTTTGGTTCTACTATGGTGCATTTGCCTATGGGAATGGAAATCCTGATTTCTATGGCCCTGATTACCTTCTTGAGAAGGATGTTATTGTTGTCACATTCAATTACAGAGTTGGCCCCATAGGTGAGATCCTCTAGATTCTTCTTTAATCGTGTTCAAATGCCTATAGCCAAAGTATGATTAACCAAATTCACAAAATCTCAGTATCTCTCTTTGACAGGCTATCAAAAAGAAAATGAAAAAATAGAGTATCAGGGCTAATCTAAAGTAAGGATAGAGCATTTAGGCACAAGGTCTCTTTTTTTCCGATGAAGCACAGCTAAATGCAATATACACCAATTCTTTTGCAATCCAGTCTCTGATTACCTGCTTACCCAAAGGGGGATGAGCAGGTCATGTTGGATCCTATTAATCATTTTGCCAAATTTCGGTTTCACGAATTTACACGACTTTCTGTGCCCTTTTGTGCTAAAGAAAAGACAGCCCTCTGAGTATACCTCAACCTGAGTATACCTCATTTACCAAGGAGATGACCAAGCGGGTAGGTAACCGAATAAGCGGTAGTCTAGGGGCAGCACATTTGAAAAGGAAAAGAAAGTGACAAGAAGAAGTGCTCTCCAATTTTTTTTATTTTTTTAAAGTAACAGTTATGCTGGCAAGATTCGGTGAGAAATAGGTCAAACTTTCTCCAAAAGACATCTTTTTTTGGCAATTTTCCTGAGCAAGCCCTGCGGTTCTACGGGGGTGCCAGTGGGTGCCGGGCACCCCCAAGCAAAAGTTAAGTACGGTTACCGGAACCGTGAAAGAGGCCTTCTTCTTCTTTCACCTCTATTTATTGCTTTTTGAACCAGTGTAGAATTTAACATAAAAAAGACCAAATTACTGCTTTTAAAGATTCTGTATTCGTTCACACTGAGTAAAAATCCCAGCAATTAATTGAAAATATTTTAAACAGAAATAATATTGATAGCCGTGTTTTGCAAAGATTCTACTGTTTTTTATGGTAAGATTGTAGTTTTGATGGAAAGTTTTGCTAAAAATTTTCTACGTTGAATTTATAGGTATTTAAGTAGAGAGGAAGGAGAGAAAAAGAGAAAGGAGGGTAGGAAAGGGATAAAACTTGAGGGCAGAAACTTAGGCCTCCCCTGAGCGACCTTCCCCTTCGGGGCCGGTCTCCGACATTTTTCACCTCTTGGCACCCCCAAGCATGAAGGTCTAGAACCGCCTATGGAGCAAGCCTCTTAGACTTTTCTGGATATGTAATTTTCTTTGCTATAACCAATCAAAGGGAAAGGGGGAAGCAAAATTATACTTACCTCAAGGCGGTAAAAAGTCAAACCTGGGCATATCTCAATACATCGATAGGTTCATGCACTTTTATAAACTTGTGGCTTGTGTTTTCAATGATGTGATGAAATAAAGGAATCAGGAATATCAAATCTTACTCAGGTACACTCAAAATCCCGAGAGAAAAAGAATCTCTGTAAATGTAGAGCTTTACCTGTTTTTGTTTTTATTACAATAATTTTATCTTTTTTTGGTTTGATCGAAGAATCTTAAAAACGCTCACTTTTTTCTTTTTTGGATTTTTACAGGGTTTTTGTCATTGAACATCAAAGAAGCGCCAGGAAATGCAGGTATGAAGGATCAAGTTGCTATGTTGAGGTGGGTGAAGAAAGAGATCCAGCATTTCGGTGGTGATCCCAATAACATCACTCTTTTCGGTGAAAGCTCAGGTGGAGCGTCTGTCCATTTGCACATGATTTCTCCTCTCTCGAGAGGTTAGTACCTAGCTCTATAGTCATTTTGGCAAATAATATATTGTTTAGAAATTATCGACAATGCAATCACTCATAGGTCACATCGGGCAAACAAAAAAGGCAATGGCTGATAGGTAACAGAGTTTCTTCCTGCCCCCTTATCTCTATGTCACACCTGGTATCAAACTATCTTAAAGACAAATGGAGCCTTTCCTTCAATTTTATCGTAATCAAGTCGTAGCAGTAGAGAGATACTCTTTTATGATCCATCTTTTTCCATTGTTTTCATTGCATTTCACCTCTATGACTTTGAACATATTTATTCATAGTGAAAAGGGGCTGGATTAACAACTGATAAACCTGCTTCTCAATTGAACTTTGTAAGATGTCGTTACTTTTAGCATGAACCAAATGGAAACTTTCCTTTGGGACCCAACATTATGTATCTCAGTATCTCAGTCAATGTGAAGCAATACCTGTAGCATTCTCATTCAGAAGCTGCTATCATACAGGAGTGCCAGTGAAAATACCTATTTCCGTCTTTTACGACAATTTTCCTCCTGACAAATGTCTTGGCAAGGAGCTCTCTAAAACGAATTGCCAGCAGTAAGTTTTGATGCAAGATCAGCAACTGAAACCGCAATGCTCCCTCGCAAGATTAATCTTAACATGATAGAATATATGTTAGTCTGAAGTTTTAAGTTTGAAAATCTGAAGTTTGGCGAAAGCATATACATAATTGAACTTCGATCTTGCATTGGTCATTTGTCTTGCATTAGGTATGAAATTAAGCTCAATATCATAAGGTTAATCATTTCTGTTAGATGCCTAATTTACTGAGGAGGAATTGCAAAAGGAGAAATTCGGCTTGAAAAGCATTTTAGGTTGAAAAAAAATTAGTCGCCCTCCTAATAAATTTCCGTTTCTACTTCTTCTTTCTAGGCCTATTCAATAAAGCTATCCTTCAGAGTGCAACTGCCTACTGTGGTTGGGCTTTTGCTCCTATGAAAGTCTTGTACGAAAGGACCTTGAGGTTAGCCAATCAGCTAGGCTGTGTTTCTCAAGACCCTAATGAAATTTTGGAATTCTTGAGGAAACATCCAGTAGACAAACTGGTGTGGGCTCAACATGAAATTGTGGCTGATGCTGTAAGTGAACAAATTTTATGTTCAATATTTATTTGAGACAGTGAAAATTCCAGGTTATAAGTCAATAATTTATTTTAAAAATGTGACCATCTGCAGAAAAAGAGACCCTATCGCTTAGGGGGGGGGGGGGGAATGGAAAAAATGTCATTATTGTTCATTATTGCTCAGTTCAAAGGAGTGTTTTACAGACATTTGAAATAAAATAGTGCCCAAAAATTTTAGACAAAACCGGAATTATAGCTGTTGGAAGTTTACAATTTAATTAATTATAGACTTAAAAAACAGCAGTCTGAAGTTTTTGTTTTTCATCTGTAGAGTTCAAAATTGTTAGATTGTAATGGCTTTTTAAGCCCTCTACTGAAGCAAAAGAGATCTAAATAGCTCATAATTTGATCATTGAGATGCTTTAGAGTAATTTTCATAGGAAACTCAAATACCAAATTTTTTATCAGCTATGATTAAAATCCTTCTCCGGAAAAAGTTTACCTCCACTAAGACCTCTTTTTTCATAACGGTCCTAAATGATGAAGTATCCTTACAAATCATTGAGTTTACACATTTTCTAAGTTTCTGGATGGATCGATTTACCCCTCAACGCTTGATTAAAAATTGAAAAATAAGGAATTATCTTTCATAATTTGTTCGCATAAAGTTGAATTTTCACCTAGTTTATATAAATGCCTTTTTTAATAATTCCTTACTCCTCTTTTGCAGGAAAAAGCCTCTGCACAATACTTCATGTTTCTTCCAACAATAGAGTCTCACCATTCTCTCGATGAGCCATTTTTAACCGAGGACCCACGAACATTGATCAGATCAGGGAATTTCTACAAAGTTCCGACAATGTGTGGATTTACAGAAAAAGAAGGACTTTTTAATCTTTTTAGTGAGTACTACAGCCTTCAATCAATTTCAGTGAAGTTATATTCAACAGAAATACCGGTTATGTCATAGTATATGATATAGCTCTAAAGAATTCAGAAATAAAAAAACTGAGTAAAATATTTCAATAACACCTATTCATGATGATTTATTCACGCTTTGATAGGCGTTCAAAAAACTTATGTTGGTAGTTAAAAATTTGCAAACCGCCACAACACTTATTTGTCAACTTGAAGCTTGCAGCCTTTTCAGTATTATTTGATATGATGATCTTTACAGTCCCCGAAGGACAATGAGCTTTTAAAATCGAACTTTCTAAATTGGCATTGACCCACACCATTTAAACATAATTGATCCACACATTTCAGTTTTATTATGTATTCATATTCAGTATCATGACTTCATATTGTGATTAATCGCTGATAAACATTTCCTGTAGTCTTTAAATTATATCTTAACCATCAGCACAGAAGATGAAAAGGTAAAATCAATTCTTCTCTAAAATATGTCTATTTTGTTTTTACCAATTTATTCATTTCTTTTTCAGCAACATCAAAGAGATTCATCGAACTTCTTGTCAATGGATTCGAAGACTATTTGCCGCAGCGCATGTTTCGATGGATAGATTCAATATCCAGAGACTCTCCTTGTTATGAAAAAATTCGTCGCAGGTATTTTGATGGATTAGAAAGCAAACTTGCGAAGTCTACAATTCACCATGCTGAGTTTCCAACTCTAGAGAAGGTAAGAGAGGGTCTAGAGAAGGTTTTTACTTTTTTGTCTCTAATACCTGTAACATTGCTTGATGAGTCCAGTCTGTACAATAACTTTGGGTGAGGGGGGGGATATTATGAAAAAAGGACGTATAATTTTACAAAAAAAATATTTTTGTAACATTAATAAAAAAATTTGAAATGGCCATGCATAAAAAATTTTGCAAAGAAGAATTCTCTTCTATTGACATAAGCAGAGCTTGTCAAGCAAATTCAAGTCTTTGCGTGTTTTTTTGAAAAAAAGAAGAACTGATTACGTTTTTGTCCTATGAAATTATAGTCAGGGTTGGTTTCAAACTTAAATTCTCCTTTTTTCCCCCTATTATTCCTTAATCCAAGAAAGATCGTGCAAAGAATAAAAAGGGAGTTGGAATGTGTGTCATTTATTATTTTTTAGTTCTCTGTTGCTCTGAATTATCGCTTTTTCCAAGAACTCGTTTATATTAGAGGGAGGCTTTGTTCATTTTTTTTTTAAATCTAAGTGACAAATAGGATATTATTTGTAGTTTTCTAAACTCAGTCTTTTTCTCTGATTACAGTATTTCACGGAAGTGTGTTTTAAGTACCCTATAATGGCGGCAGCTATTGACATGCACAAATATATGACCCCAGAAATACCTATTTACACATACTACTTCACCTTTGCTGGAGCTTTAGGATGGAACAACAGACGTGCTAATTTTCCAGTAGACAAATCAGGTATAATTATTTCATCAACTGAACGTATTTCAGCAAATTAGTCAAGATTTTTCGATGAAAGAAAAGTTTATAGCCTCATTTGTCTTGCTAAGTCTAAATAAATTTTAAAAAAACCCTGTTACAGGAATTTTACTGTGCTCAAAAATTCACGGTACCATTCACGGCCAACAAGGATTTTTTTTTTTTTTTTTTAGGACCAATAAAAGATTGTAATAATGAAGCAAGATGTTTTGGAAGGAAGACTCAGTTGAAACCAGTGCTATACTAATTTCCTAGGCGCCAATGTCTTCGTCAATTTTACCCATAACGTGCAATAGATAAAGTTGAAACACTTTTTTAGCACATCATGCTTTTAAGGTTCAAATTTCGTGGACGCTCATTGTTTTTTTTTTTTTTTTATTCTAATCCTAAATTGGTTTTCCTCTTTTTTTCCTCCTAATTCAAGATTTAAGTAAGAAGTCTGCAACTCATACTTAAACATTCCCCACTATCAAAATTGATTCTGTGATGGCGTTTTTTTCCTCTTTTTTTCCCAGTTGTTGCCCATGGAGATGAGCTTGGATACTTGTTCCATATTTCTGTGTTAAAGAAGCCTAAATTATCTCCAGATGCTCCAGAGTTTAAAACAATTGAACGAATGACTCAATTCTGGACCAATTTTGCAAAACGCGGGTGAGTACTAAAAGATTACCTGACTCTTGGTTATCATGCATCTTATTTGGTCTCCTTCACTTCTATTTTCATCATAGGATCCCATTTATAAAATTGATGTATTCTAGTGCCTGCAAGCACTAACTTTACCGGCACTCACTGAAAGTTGGATAAAACATTATTATGATTGCATTTGTGTTGGTACGTAAAAGAACTATTTGATTAGTGAGGTGACTGAAAAATAATACCTGCAAATGCGGGAAGTTTGAAAAAGCGTGTAAATATAATAAGCATGTAAAGCACTCCAAAATAATCCATGCTTAGGATAATAATACACAGTGCTTGGAAAGTGAAATAAATCCATCGTACCCAAAATGCATTGCGCCAAAGCTGAGAATTCACCGCAGACTTTGGCTTTAATGTTTAGTATCATAGAGAAATAAAATTTCAAACCTCTTTTTCTGGGTTCAAACTCAATATGACTGGGTGCGTTTCTGAGAATCTCTGTCCAAATGATCTTAAATGGATGGCCTTAAGCAGAAAGGAACCAAGCCACATCAGCTATTGTCAAATTTAATTTTTTACATGAAAACGGTTGAGCAGATTTTTGTGCAAATTTCAGTGAATTTTCTACCTAGTACAAAGCAAATTCTTTAAAATTTTCAAATAAATTTGCACGAACGTTTTCTGGTGAAAAATTGACTTACTCTGTTAAATTTGGCAATAGCTGATGTGGCTTGATACCTTTCTGCTAAACGCGGTCCAAATGATGATTGATGGTCTAAATTACAGTTTGTTTTCTTTTCCCAGGAACCCTAATCCAGATACAATCTCACCTTTGTTCCCATGTGTTTGGCGACCTATGAGTGAAGATGGCAATTTTAGAGCCCTGAAAATTGATGAAAAGCTAGAAGAATTGGATTCTATAGAAGTTTTTGATTTCTGGCATCCCATCGATGTATTTTTAGAAAATTAACTGTAGACCATTGTTGACTGAAATAATTTATTTCTTATCTAAATTTTATATCTTTTTTACATTAAATATGCTCATTTGTATTTCACCGTGTGAATATAGAATTGACTTGAAACTTTTTCTTGTCCGTTCTATTTCTTTTCAATACTGAAAGACTAATGAAGCCAGTTGGTTAATTGTTCCAAAGGGGTTACAGGGGAGACCTTGCACGAACTTGTTAAATGATTAAACTATTTGAAACGACGAGTAACTTTTGTACCCAAAATTTTATGCCTGTCCATCGTGCTGTAGACGTACCACCCAAGACTTTCGTCAACATCTCTTTCTCATCTTTCAAGCTTCCCAGTAAAAGGTAGTAAAAAAATGAAATTCTGCTCCTGTAAGTTTTTTTTTTTGTCTTGTTTCATATTCGAATTATTTGGTCAACTGTTAGTTTCGTGAATGGCTCCTTTAAGAGGTCTAATATTGCAACATCTAGTCATTAAATAACCTAATTAAAATCATTAATAATTAACGAAGATACAATATTCCCCTCTATCACTGTTCAGATAGCAGGCAATAGTGGATGGATTGACAATTGATTGTCCATCAAAATTTTGTTGGTCTCATCTAGATTCTCTATGGCTGCCGGTCTTTATTCTTTCTTTCTTTCTTTTTTTTTTTTCAACTTTTCGAAAAATTTGACCTCTGCACCATTTTAAAAGATGGATTGAATGCAATCTCATTTTTTTTCCTATATCTTGCATCTGAACGTTCAACGACCTCCCCCCTCCCCTTTCAACTCATCACAGTAGCTTTTGAACATTTTTTTCCCTACAAATAATTACGGCTCAATACATTTCTGTGCCGTAAAAATTCAACAAAAAAAATGCATGGTGCCCAACATTATGTAAGTCTGCCCAAGGTATAATCGCTTCTTGAGAAAAACGGACCTTTTTTTCCTGTAATTTTACACTGCTGCATTGTATAACAGTTTGAATCTTGATAACTCGTGTTCTAAGATCAAAAAGTCTCACTTTGACCTATGTATAATCACCCTTCTTTTTCAACATAACCACAAGACACCCCGTAAGGTCGCAGTCGGGTTTTCCGAGACGTGTCTCGTGCGTAAATGCGTTAGAGAGGGTACTTATCCATCCACGAAAATCTGTAGGTAAGTAAAAAATGATTTTGATTCATAGTAAAAATGTGTACATCGTTTGGGTGCCTGGCAGTCTAGCCGCTCGCGCAAGAGAATGTTGTCAGCAAATTTTTCGAAGCTGTGGCGAAATTTGGTAAAAGCTTACTTTTCATAATGATCTTTATCGACAGGGGCTCTGAAATGTCGATATTGCGTAGCGTAGCGGTCAAGTAGGTACGGCGGTGTGAGGTGACACGATTTATGGAAGCAGAATTTGTCAGCTTATTTTTTGCCACAACAATGTGAGTTCTTCAAAACACGGCCGACTTTCTTCCACTTTTTGCGTCTCCGAAAATATCACCGTAAAAATTTTTGGAGCTCTCACTTATTGCGAACCGGAGACATAATTTGATCTATTTAGACCGAGAAGAAAACGAAAACTTATGATCTCTGAGAATGATCGGTCGCGCCTAAGTTCATTTCCTAAGCTGCGCATTTCTAAAGCGCCAGTATCGATCTATTGTAATAAATCTTTTATGCAATTAGGAACTGATTATTGCCAGTATAATTAACTAATTGAAACAGTTAGACGCAGGCACGTATTAATAAATGGTTTTAAAAAGGTTTTTATCCATGCGCCTTCACTTTTAAAGCTATGCAACATGATCATCCATTGCATACGAATAGTTGCATCCAAGCGTTGGTACCAACGACGCGTATCCATGTACTAGAGCACTCACGATCGTCGGTCGATAGAATAATACAGCGTTTTGGAAAAGCTCCTGTAATAACCGCCGAACCCGTTCATAAAAACATCCACCCACACAAGGGAATAAATCGACGGTGTAAGTTGGCAATCGCATAACTCGGTTTGCAACGTCGCACGTCGCAGACTTCCTGTCGTCATACTTTATTTTTTAAACGGAGAACTACTCAACGGCAATTCTTTAAAACTGCCGTGATTTTTCTTCTCTGTGCGAGGAAAATTCTGCATTAACTCCAAAGAATGATGTCAATTTGTTCCTATTTTAAAAAAAGAACGTAGAGACGGAGATTTTCAGACACCGCAAACGAGATATGTGATTGCGGACTTACGCCGTCGAAATGCCAATCTTGCCGTTTCTGGAACTAGCCGTAGGAGTTGGTTCCTGTTCTCTGTACAATGCATTTGTTGCACGAGCAGGGGCTTTTCGATTATGTAAATCAAATGTTCCTGTGTCTAAGTCCTAGTAAAAGAGGACGGTGGAATGAGCCTTAACTAAAATCAACTCCCAACTTCCGGGCCGGATTTAGGGGGCGGCCACATGGGCCGCGGCCCATGGTGGCAAATTTAGGGGGCGGAAATTTTGCAATATTTTTAAATGTAGCTATAAAGAAAAATCGGAATCAGAAAAAAATGACAAACGAGAAAAGGTGACAAAATCTCTCATTTCCTGAGAGAATATTTCTAATTTAGTCGTCTTTCTGTGATACAATAGACAGTACCTTCAGGTCAGTCGAGTTAAGACTAAGAGAGAAACCGAACACGGAATTTGGTCTGGAATGGCGCGGCGCAGAGAGCAATGATGACGAGCAACTTAAGATGAAACAAAGAAACCCTCGGCGCGGCGCGGTGGTCAGCATTAACATATATTAGCGCCTACAAGACTGCATGAATACTTCACGCAATGCGTCAAAGATAGTGCGGTCAGCAGCGGTTGGCGTGAAACGCATAGCGCATACAAGACTGTAGAAATACTTTACGCATTGCGCCAAACACAGAGCGGTCAGCGCGGCGCGGCGGCGGAAGTTAAAATTATTAAACCACAGTTATGTTTGTTCTGTCATTATTTTTACGTTCATTTCATATAAATGAAAGGCCTCGTCCACACAGAGATAGGTTTACGGAACATAACTTTCGCACTAAGTTCCGTGAATTTTTGCTAGTGTAGTGTTGACAGGGCTCTCGCAAAAAATGTGTCCAACACGAGTAAACGCGTCTTATGAGCCCCTCCCCTCCCCCTCCGGCACGTTCACTTGATGGTTCTTATTGATGTTTCAAAACGAATGGGAAGGGGGCGGCAAAATACAGGCGGCCCATGGGCGGCAATAAGTAAGTGAATCTGGTCATGCCCAACTTCTAACACGCAAAACCACGTATCTCAATTTGCGACGTTGCTAATTTCCGGTCCCTTTTTAATTTTTTCGGAGGATGACTGATCTTCGTTTTGCAGAAGAACTCGTGTGATTCTTATTCGCCCTCTCGAGAATGTTCACTTAACATTTCATGCCGGTCCCAGAAAAAAAAATACAACTGCTAAAGCGCTGCAATCAATTAATATACGTGTTTTAAAAGACTTTCTCTGGCTGAACATTTCGAGGAAAGAGAATGAACACGATGCTATTATGACGGTTGCCCTTTTTGCCATTTCTCCTTCAATTTTCGGGGTAGGCCAGACATCGTTCGTGCGATAAGGGTTTTCTATTCGAGTAGTTATGTCATTATATGTATGTTGTGTTGTCTAAAAATCTTGACTTGCAATAAATTATGTTTAAAACCGTGCCCCGATTTTCAGGCTACTTCTGCTCTTCTTTTTTATTCAAGTCTCCGTGATTCATAATAAATATGGTTTAGTTTAATAACACTAATTTATTCACTCCCGAAGTTTTTCTTTGGAAAAGGGTGTTTTCTAATGTAAACACAGTAAATTTCTTCGCGTGTTCTCGTGTTTTTTTTTTACCAGCGATATAGGTCGAATATCGACTCTGGAATGCAGTTCAATGGATCGTCTGAGTTAGAGGCTGGTCCTTTTCTTTGTATTCAAATATATGATCTATGGGCAGTATAGAGACATGAGATCCCAGATTTTAAAAGTATAGAGATAATAAATCACTCCCCAAGGAGAAGCAAGGGGAATTGAGGGACTTGGAGGAAAAGATGCATAAGTGCAGTTTTTGCTGTTTCAAGAAATGCTTGTTTGAAGTTGCGACATTACATGGATTCTAATGCGGCAGAAAAGTATAGTTCAAACTGACTTTTCGATGCTTAAAAATTAGAATTCAGGAATTTTTTACAGGCTATGCGCTGAAACTAGTTTTACTTGAAATTATTAGTATCCCAATTTTTCAAAAACTGCACTTAAGCGCTTTGTACTCCAAGCGCCTCAATTGTAGTTCTTCTCTGACCTAAGTACGTGCAGAAACTGCCGTTGCAATCTGCGTCTTTCTCCACGTCTGCACTCCTGGCGGCCCTGACATGTTTATTCGTCGTTGAGAGAAAAGATCCTTTACGGGTAGCAATTACAGATTGTTGGCCGGCATCCCAGTGGATTCGGCTCGAAAGAGGCAACGGGAGTGAATCAGGAAAGGAAGCTGCCTGGCCTCAATCCTGCCCTGGAACGCAAACCGTCGAATAGGAGGATTAGCTCTATTAACCGCAATCAAATTCAAAGGAGCCTCACACGATTCGTTCGACCGCAAAGTCTAGAGACTCGAAAGAATTTCAAACGCGCTGAAATGGCGGGAAAATGATGTTCTGCAGCGGTCGAATCGCTACCCCCTCTCATTTTCCACCTATGTTTATTTGTTAAAATAAAACGTATTTTAATGTAGAATTGGTTCTTGTTAATTACTGATAACATAAATGAGATTCGATTCTGAAGTTACAGTATCGACTCTCCTAATTGTTTTCATACACGAGGAGTAGAAAGACATTTGACGGAAGTTGTGCTCGCTCCTGATTGGTCCCGGATAACATCATCCGGCTCGGCGTGAAAGTGGGGCGCCTTCAATTTGAGGCAAAGTTGCACTTGCTGAACCGCGTATTTTTGGGTTACTGAGTGACTTTTTCGCGTTCTTAACGTGCGCATCGTTCTCTCCGCGTCATTTACACCCAGGAAATGTATTCGTAAGTCGAAATTCGTTCATAATAAAGTGACCCATTCGAAGTTAAAGAAACTCCTAGTCAGTGAATTTGGGGCTGTATTCATAGTCGTTCCTTCATCAGCTTTTTTCCTCTGAAAGCTCCCCCCCCCCCCCCCCCCCGCCGCAAATAGTTCCCATGATGAATGTAGACTGTACTCGATAATGCCTCGTTCACAAGTTCTTTTAAGACTTTTCAAGCATGTGAGCCGTGTTCTGCGTGAAATTTC